AATGGGATTATTTTCAGTGCTATAATCTTAACATGTTTGAATCACGTTATAATTACTAATGACTAATTACTAATGATCATAAGAATGTTAATGATGAAGAAACCCGTAAGAAGCTAAAAACCAAGCTAATTGACAATAATAATAAAAAGTACCGACTAATCTTTGAGTAAACGTTAATTTCATGCTAAAGCTTTTGAGAGTGTTGACAGTGTGACTGTAACAGTCACCTAAGTAATGTACTAAACAGTTCTATTTTTGATTAAAGAACGTGATCTTATGGTAGATGCTGCTGATTTTGGAATTAATAAAACAATAATCATCATCCTAAGACAAGAGACAAACGCCATCATCGATTTCAATAACATTTTCTAACGAGTTCCGATTTCATATTTAGCTTCATGGCTTAATTTTGATACTAACTGAACATGGTACCGTCAATAAAGCTAACAAAAATTGGAAGTTGAAAAATGCTTCATAAATTAACATAAACATTGATAATAATGATAATAATGATAACATACAAAATATATCAAAGAAGATCAAGAATATCAATCGTGTAACCATTATTAAATCAATTTGTAAACTAATATAAAGGATATTACATGGTCGCGCGGATGTACGAAATTCCTCTTCGAGTGTTAAAAAAATATTTTTTATGAATACCAATGAAATGCTAAATCAAAGGCACTGCATCGAAAGACGCGATTTTTATAAGTTACCATAGCAACAGTTCTATTTTCATGAGTGAAGATAACATGTTATCTTCACGTGTGAAGATATCAAGTTTTCGCGCGAAAGCTCACTCGGTATTTCATTGATGTTTATAACTAAGAGGTTATCACATACCAATCATGCCTACTTATGCATATCTTCTAATACTGTTTAATCGTTGTTGATACTTTGGTGTCATCACTTTGAACCTGATTCTCATCTTACTACTACTGATGCATAAAAACATAAATGGCAACCCCCTCCGGCAAGAAACTTGAGCGAAAATGTCGCAACACAACTTACATTGTTAATATCAATTGATAATATTAATATATCAATCACTTATAACTAACTAATAACCAAATATGTATCAGGTGTTGATAACTACGACGATCTAAAGCTGTTCTTATGCGAAATGCTTGTATAGTTTATAATTGTAACTTTCTAGCTGATACACTAATGCTGATATTAATTCTTATCACTTAACTCTCGCAAAGTTATAATGCATCACTTTCATAGCAGAAACCAAGTTATTTTCTTAATGACTGGAAAACTCCTTTTTTTAATTGCCTAAGAAATAATTTCCTCTCTCAAGCAACTTTTAATTGGTTCTTTTCAATAAAGTGTTGCCAACTTTTACATAAATAATTACATACGAAATATTTGAATACAAACTGCAGTCGATTGTTGCTTAATTGTTCATAATTCTTTGTTCAAAATCTCGAGATTAATTAACTGAAAGTTTATCATCTTTCATGGAAGTTGTGTTACGTTTCTTGATACAGATTGATTGAAACATATTTTTTTCATGAAGCAATGTATCAGCAGCTTGCTTAGATCGATGCCAAATGTTATTATCAGACTTCCATCCCTTTGGTTTAACTATACACAGCATAAAAAATGTAAAATTGTGCAGCTCCATTTACCGTTGTGAATTACATAATAAAGAATTAAAAATTTATGATGTTATGACGATGACTCAGCTCTGCGCATGTCCTAGCCACTTTAATTTAGAAGAAAACATTTCTTACCTCCCCCTCCCTGGGGACGATGACGGCCATGGTGGCCTCTTCCTGGTTCATGAGTAAATACCATGTCAGTACATATTGTGCCAATCAACTGAAGAAGAAGAAATGACGTCATATGTTAGTATTGCTCGGACGTTACAAGAGAAACCATGTAAGACAACAGAAACATCCTTTCGTCACCTAGTTGGCTGGTGATAAATACATAAGCTGCCCTGAGTCACCACAAGTTCATGGAAAGGAAAGAGAGCCTGAGTGATTCCCTGCATAAAGCTTGCCGCTACGGGCTGAGTCATGACCCACTTTGAGTAAGAGAGAACTCTCCTCTTCTGATTTTCTATGAGTTATGTCTTGAACCAATAAAATTTCCAGATTCAACTCGATACTCACAAAAATCACGATTATGTTCCCTTCAGTCTTCATTTTCCTAAAGAATTGGAGGAAAGAGGAGTACTACTCAATGAACTGACACTAGGATTGAACCAGATGTTCCTTGAAGATGTTATCTCCATCTTAGATAAACCAAGCTTCGGTAAAGATTCGAGTCGGAATTGAAAGAAATAAAATTGTTCGTTCAGTGAAGTAGGAATACGCGAGAGCCCGCAATATTGATAGCCCTCTTCGGCTTATATCGATTCTCTAACAAATATAAGTGGTGTCAGTTTTTATTTCTATTTATAGGCAGTTCGACACTTAGCAATGAAAGCCAGTCTAGTGCACACAGTCACAGGTATCTAAATTTGTTTTTAATTTCAAGCATTTTGGGCGAAATTTAAGCCGAATACAAATGAAGATTATGCACCCAATGCAACGTATTTTTTATGTGCACCTTAAATATACGCCTTATATACCTTGATTAATTTTTCTTCCTGTTAATATCTATGGACAGCTGGTTCTTTAAGATAAATAACACGCGTAATTTTCCTGAGTTTTGAATATTCAATGTATCTGATAGATCCTTGAAAAGTTAATCTGGAAATATTCTAGAGAACATTTTGTCACACTTGAAGGCGTGTCTTAAAATTTCGTATACCCAATCGAAAAATGATTATAAAAACTAGAAGTATAAACTTCAAACGAGATCATTTTATTCCTCGACTCAATAGCAGCTGCTCGTATCGATTTTCTGTTTCTCTATTTTTTAATGGTTTTTTTTCGTTTCTTTGTCAGAATTTGTTTAAATTCTGACTTAAATCTCACGAAGTAGCATGATTTATCTATTGAAATTAATTGGTATTTTTCATCATGAAGATCCGAAAAATTCAAAGAAGGAAACTGGTGTTTGTCTGAAAAATATATCAGTTGATGTCAACTTTCCTTGTATCCAGCAATCGTGTGAATGAAGTCTAAATTTCTTTTTTATTTATTTGCTATGTCTAAGGATTTTTAAAAAGTTTCACTAAGACAACTTTTGCCGTTTTAAGAAACATGGATTGTTTTTCCAGTCACCAAGAAAGTGTGGATTTCGTCTGAAAAGAGCTGATAACTTTGAACAGTGAATCATTGACCCATTCGAGTTCGTAATCTGTCCAACAGAACTAGTTTTGAAATTTTTTATATATTAGAGGCCGATCTTGGCTCAAGATGAGATCATATTTTAACCTGAGACAGCTTCTGGTATCACTTTTACGTATGTGTAAGTTGCAATACGAAAACCTTCATAATATTTAGAAGACTATCGAACTAATATCCCTTAACTAAAGTTCACAAAATTGAAAGAAGATTCAATCGCAAGACAAAACTTGCAGGACTGCATCAGCGCAATCATATATTTTGCAATAAATTTCCTTCGCTGTCGGTCTGCATGTATGCATTAGACATGAACAAATTTATTTTGAATTCCGTAATTTCGAGTCTTACCTGCATCATAATGCCTAATGCGAGGTATATAACTGAGATGATAACGGTGTGTTTGAGTTGTGTGTAAGAGAAAGAATAAAAGTTTTCATATTTGACGCATCTGGTAGCAAAAATTAACGTTAGTTTGTTTTTCAACTCGAGAAACAACTTGGCTGCTCTCACTCACCTCAAGATGTTAATAAGTAGTTTGAATAAAAATTTACTTCACTTCTATAGAAACCCTTTGCAAGGAACACACACTGAGTAAAGGATCTCCGTCGCCCTGAAGTTGCACGAAATATTTCAGTTTTGCGCCCACATACAATTGCTGCAAAAGGTGTCAGTTTGCACAAGATGTTCAAACTCATTAGTATAATTGTGAAAAAGTTCTATAATGAGTTCATGATATGAGCCTAGTTTCTGATTAGATCGTTCATGACAACATGGAGAAGCATCCAATTGGCTGTATTTTTTGCAACAGATGCACTGCGGCATCGTAAATACTGTAAGTAAGAATAGATGATTAGCCATCTTGTCTTAAATATACAAGAAAAATGCTCGTAAAATGGTTTTATCAACCGTTTATGCCAATAAATTGTAGCTTACTCCAGGAATTCAGTCAGTAAAACGGAGCGAAACAGTAGCGCGATAGTAGCAGATAAACGAAAAAGCTAGAGAGGTCTGGGTCGGGTCAGGTAAAGAACAAGGAGTGCCTTTAATTCCGACGTAAAAAATTGCTGATTCACGAGTTTAAAAACAGATTGCGACTCATTGTTGATAAGTTTTGCACTCTGTTTGGTGCGCTGAGAATTTTTGTATTTCACAGAGTGAGGTGTTTTTACGACCAGAAAATCCTAGAAGTTACACAGATTTTCTGTTCAATACATGTTAACTCCTGCTCATCGTTCAGCTTTTGCCACGATTTGGGAAAAACAAGATGAGAAAAGTAGCTTTAATTTTTTTTTTCGTCTTTCTTTGTTCACAACTGCAAGCTCCTTCATTGTCCATATCTATTCTGTTATTACCTAGGTTAGAAGCTTCGAGTCCAAAGTGGAATGATTCCAGTGTTCTCCTTTTCAGGCGGTAACCGGTAACATTTACCGCCTGGAGTACCCCTTATTACCGTTTAAAATGGCTTGGAATTCTTGAAATTCAACAGGTAAAAGGATTGCTTTGCCGGTTTGAAAATTTATTTTACCTGTCATGCTTGAAATAAGGGAGAACACTGGGAATGAATTCTTCTCTCACAAGCCTACCTGTCATCCACAAGATATAGACTACACATTAAATTGAAGAGGATAATAAACCCACAGCTTGTGTGTGTCGTCCTTTATTGCATCGTTGACTTTTCCATGTCTTCTTTTTTTTTTTTAACAAAACCGAACCGACGAGTAATGTGTCCACATTGTTTGCCTACGAGTTCTTCTCGTGTCTCACTAATAAGTTCTACTCAAGATGCGATGGATGACCTTATTTCGGGGAAAGCTGTCATCGTGAAGGCCGCGGGGTATGCTTGGACAGATGCAAAGGGTCCGGACTACCTTAGTGCAGTGCTTTCGTCCAATCCTTCGCAGGAACGGTTAAAAGGCAAAACAGAACACGCATAAAAAGTCGTTAAAATCAGCATGGTACTTTCGATGCTAGCAGTTTCTGTTTTTAAAAAACTCACAGAACAGAATTTCAAATTACTCACAATACAGCGAGTACAATACTTTACTAACACTATCTATTTCTTTATTCTTACACATCGCTAAAAACCTTGTAAAAGATGAATGCACATCAAAACAATAATCCTCTTCCTACTTTTTTAGCTTAACAGCTCATATATGAAGCTTCTCCTTCCAGCAGTGACTTCATTGAATGTTTCAGTCAAGGCTATCATTCTCAGCTTCCATGTACTCATGAACTGTATGTGCTTTTAGCCGTGATATTTTCACATCTATAATATACTAAGCTAATAAACAGTGCTGCAGTCAATTGAACAAAAGTTCACGAAAGCTTCCTTATGAAGCAGTCAACACGGTGAAAAATGCCACTAACAACACACTAAATTACCATGAGAATGGATCTACTGACAGCTGCAGTGTGGCCTATTCAAGGCTCTTGGTTAGCAGAAACAAGCAAAATTATATCTCAACGGCAAGGTGACAGAGCCACTTTAACTGTTCTCTTTATTCTTAAGCACACTAAGATCCCTAACACACTTCAGAAGATTCTCCACTGAGGGTCTGTCTGTGGAGACCTTGCTGCGATGGATTAGTGCAAGTTTACCATTTTTATCGAACACAAAGTCTCCACCCATCTGGGTGGGGTCATCTTCATCAAACATGGCCACAAGTTTCCTGCCAGCACGCTTCTGCTCTGCATAGTAAACTAGGGCAGAGATACTCCAAACTTTAGCCACAGAGCGTTTCAGACCAAGCGCATTGTACAGCTGACGTTCTGGGTCAACAAACATCCTGAACTCACAGTTTGTATCTTGAAGCCATTTTTTTGCTCCTTCCTGAAACATGGGAGATGACAATTACAGTTTTTCAGGGAGCAAAGGCAATCACAACACAAGCTGTGGAAGGGAGACACATGCTGGTATGCATCCTTTTGACTCCACATGCTTTCTCCATGGGTGCTCCTTCTACTAGCCTCGAACTTGCACCTCAATATTTAAGTAGAAATTCAACAATTTTCAAAAAATTTTTTTTTCATGCAAACTGTTTGCAAATATTTTTTTGTATCCCATTCCTAAAACTTGGTCTTACATAAAGACAATGACCCTGGCAAAGTTGCCTTGATGGCCTGTTTTCTTAGTGCCTGGCCCTAATACTGAAACCTCTGCCTTTGGATTCTACGAAAAATATTTTGTATTTATCATAAAAAAAAAGGAAAGCAAATCCAAACTTTGTAAAATCCCAAGCCAAAACTACTGGGCAACCCTTCTAGTTGGTTGATTACTACAGATAACTGCAGAACCAAGAAGTTAGTAGCACAAGATTTCCATGTACTCACCAAATTTCCAAAGCTAATAATAAGGACTTCTCCATTCAAGGCCTCAAATTTTGTCTTTTGTGACTCAACTTGGGCCACATGGTCACGTCATGGCAGTCATGCAAAGTGGCGCAAAAGTATAAAAACTGTAGATGTGGACGTTAGCAAATCCTGAATGGAGAATTCCCTAACAATGGGGAAGAAAAGTAAAACATTCATGTCCTCATAGCTAGGTAAGGTATAAAATTGTTCCAGCAAGCATTTGAAAGTATGTCAAAAAGTCTTTTTCTACAACATATCTAGGTTGTGCTACAATTATTAGACATGTTGAAATGAAGCTACTCTACCATGCTGCACTTACTTTGATAATTCAACTTTAAATCAGGTACAAAATTTGCACACCTCTCTAAGTAAAACCATTCAATGAAAAGATTGTGAAGGTATTTATAAGTAACTGCCAACTCCCATGCTTGTGGATTGAAAACTCTGACATCATGGCAAATCATATGTGCCAATCAATTTCTCACATCCAACTGTGACATTTCAGCCATGACAGCATAAGAGACCCAAGTTTTTTAATTGTATAAAATAATGCAAAATCCTAAATCCATTAATCCTAAATCATCATCCCAAATCATAATTTTAAACCTTAAGTTGTGGAGGGCATAGCATTGGATACATTTGAGCCAAATCTTTAGGACATCTTTTAAATATTTAGAACATCTTCAGAAAACTATTAGTGCCTAAATGGATAATTTTTCATGTCCTCTATGAAAATGCTGGCTTTCTGACAAATACACAGTTAAAATAATTACATCACAATAAGCAAACACCTTATTGACCATTTTGCCAACCTTTCTGTGTGAACATCAATAAGTTTCAGATCACAAGGACCATGTGAGCCTTCTACTAATTCTTTTGCCTTGTCTTTACATAAAGGATCTATCTTTGCATCTGTTTCTTCTAGGAAAGAGTTCCATTCGTCCTCAGCCTGAAAGAGTTCGTCAGCTGCATCTCGAATAGATTTATCATGACAGACCTTTGCAACTTCTTCATCTATATCTCTTCTTGACATAACATTCAGTGTTTGAAATGCATCAAAGTATTGTCCAATCATGGCCCCCATTTTACACACTTTGTCTGCAACAAACTCCTCCATTGATTCTTCAGCATTTTGCCGTGCTTCAGTTAAAATGGTTGTCAGAACCTTTTGTAGATGATTTAGCTGTTCTAGTAATGTTTTCCCTACATATTCCTGAAAAAGAACACTTCAATAAAAATGCTGTTTTAGAACTACTGTGTCCCCTTCCCAACCCTCTGAACAGGTGCTGTTTTGCCGTGTAGCACAAGGAACTGTACACTCCATAAAAGTAAAGAAATGATTCTTGCAGTTGCAGCTGCAATCAGTGAAAGTGCAAAAAAGGAAGATTAAAAAATTGGATGAGGATCTGAAAATCTATGGTTTGGGTTACGGGTTTGTCCATTCCTGGACAGATGGGGCTAGTCCTTTAACTCCTATGATGTGATTGTTAATTCTCCCTGTAGCTGCTAGACATTTTCTTGTAAATTGGTTATGAGAATTTGGTGGTCAATCAAGGTAATTTCTTGTACCTGATGAGTTTGAGTATTCTCACTATCTGTTTGCTGGATAATGTATGGATATCAAAGGGAGAAGTTACATTTTAATCACTTCTGGGAGTTAAAGGGCTAAAGGCTCAGAAAGTTCAAAGTGAGACCAAGCATCTGTATGAAGGCTTAAAAATATTGAAGTAGAGAAAATTCCTTATTGTTGAGCTTCAAGTAAAGAACTGCCGTAAGGCAGCCTGAAAAAAAAAAATTGGGCTTTTACAGGAAAACACATGCCTGAGCTAAGAAGCCACCCATTAAGGAAACTGATTGCAATACAATCAAATTGAATAAATCAAATTTTGATCTGCAGATGATGCAAATGAAATGTAATCAAAGAAATAGCAGAAAACGTTCTGGCGGGGCACGGGTTTGCATCCTGCTGAAGTCTGAAATTTTTCAGTATTCGATTGTAGTTGCATATCATGATCAGTAACTGCAGCTCACCTCCATATTCTTTATTCTCTATAAATAACAGTTGGCCCTCTCTCAAATCACTAACTAAACACCCTCCTACCCGTTACCCATAGTTTTCTACTTAGCTCCACTATCACATTCCCTCGCTCAGGACCCCATCTGAGGAGCACCTTAAATTATCCACGTCAGTACCTTACCATGAACTACTAACCTGGTCGTTCTCGTCAGTATTTTCAAGTCTCGCGTACTTTTTCTTAGGTTCCTCTGTTTCAGACATATCTCAAATTTACTCCATCCCCTAGCGACGAAATAGCTTTAAAACATCTCCAAGTATCCCGAAACGATTTAGTTTATCGTTGGGAAACCAGCCACGACGTGATCAGACGCCATTTTGTTTCACAGGGAAATCACTCGACGAGTTTATTGTCACGCAAGAGGTCAATAAATGTAGGACGGTTTCAAATATCGGACTGAGTAATAAATTTTTCACACGACCCGTCTAAAAATCTCATTAAAGGTAAAATGAAATTTATATGCACCGCGCTGTAGTAGTTTTTGCTTCTCCGAGTTGTACAAAACGCCTTTTCACTGAATCACTCTCGCCGTTGGTATTACAACATGCAACATGTCCACAACATGCAAGAGGACGAAAAGGAAAGCGTTAAATGCCCCATGAGAGTCATAAGAGATGCCCATGATACTCACAGGGATACTCACAGGGTGGTCTTCCTGTTGCATGATAAGGACTAGAGTGGGAGACTAGACTCCAGTAAAAGTCCTCCTGCGCCTTAAGATGGTCAGCGTTATCACGTTAAAAATAATTATGGCGGCCGTCGTTACTGCTAAGATTGGTAGCTGACTTTTTTCTGTGATCAAGAACATATTAACAATGAATCCATGGTGGCGTTGGCGCCTATTTGCAGATAAATATAATAACCATCTTCTGTATTCTATGATCGCAATGATGTCTTGTGTTCAAGCCGTGTTGGTTTACAAGTGGTACAAAGGGGAGCGAATCAAACGTAAGTAGTTCCATGCTGTCACCGGCAAACTTTACAGTCCTCTCTCTAAGTCATCTCGACCAGAGGCTTGTAAAAAACTACTATTTGTCTATTTATAACAGCGTAAGATTATACCAAAAAAATATTTTTAAGAGATGAAAGCTTAAATATTGATTTGAAGATAAATTCGCCATGCTCATGTCTTCAGAAGGGGGTGGGAAGAGTAACCTTTTTTCGGCTTACAAGGTATCAACTGCAGATTTTGAGGATTTCCTGTGTTTCTTGAAGTTAATAACGTTTGGTCTGTTCATCAATGACCTGTCAAAGTCAAACTGAAGTTTTCTGTGTTTTGCAATGGACAGGGTTTCTAGTTGCATTTTCCCTTGAGAATTTGAACTGTTTTGTGTTAATCAGGGTCAGAATTTGAAGATGTCAGCGGGGCTCCCCACCAAAATTTACAGCAGAAGCTCTTATCAGGGTCCAACAAGTCAAACTAAAACAGTTTGTACTGAGCTTGTGCTATTTGGCCATATGTGGTGACACATTTATGATGTAATACAGTAAATGTTTTGAATATAAGAGAAACTGGATAATATTCCTGAGAAGGGCTGTTGTCAGTGATGGCAACTGGTGTGTCAAAATCATCATCGGGGTTGACTCTGATGCTGACATCTGCCGAAGTTGTTAAAATGTAAGTCACCTTTATTGACAAAAGTCACTCTCAGAACTTCTCCCACCTGGATAATTAGACCTCAAAATCAAACTGATAATGTGATAGTGTGTCTCAGCAACAGAATGTGTAGAAAAAAAATTCCTTTACCACTGAAAGAGAGGGTCCCCAGTCAACTGTTCATGGCTACGAACCAGGTGGCCGGCTGTGTCCTTTTATTGGAAGAGATCCAGTGCTATTACAATACATTTGTGTATTTTTAAAATTTAGGATACATTTTTAATTATAGCAACTGAGGAAGAGCTGTACAAGAAGGGACCTGGGATACAAAAACTTGAGGAGTATCTAAGAACCATGGCAAAGAGCCCAGTAAGTTTATAACTTCAAACATTAAAATTGGAAAAAATTGTTTTTGCCTCAACTTTTTTCTATTGACATTGGTAATTGGCAAAATTGCTCAATGATCTGATACGTTTTTACAAATAACAAGGAACAGTGCTTGAGAGCAATTAAAGTTGAATGTGATAATCGTAAGCCAAAATTGTGTTCAGTGAATTGTTCTACAAAGAGGTTCATAACTGGTGGTCATTTACATTCATGCGTCAAGAGAGGTCTTTTATTAACCCTTAACATTCTAACATCAGCATACATATTCTCCATACTGTTCTCTATACATTTCCTAAGGTGCTGACATGGAGAATTTTTGTAACAATGAAGAGCCTCTTTAGGTGGTGATCATCTCCTTTATTCTCATAACCTTAATGTGTGATTCAGGGGTGATATTGTAAGGAGAAATAAGATACTAGTCACGCTCAGGGGTCAAAGGGTTCAAGAGCATCTTCATTTGGTGATCATTTCCTTTATTCTCATAACCTTAATGTGTGACACAGGGGTGATATTGTAAGGAGAAGTTAGATGTTAGTCACTCTTAGGGATCAAAGGGTTGAAAGAAAGAATTAAATTCTATTACTCCGGGGAGTCAGACTAAGATATCATTGATGTTCATTTGGCAGTTACCAAACTTAACTTTTTTCATTTTTAACAATCTTTATTTTGTTTAGCTTTTTAAAATTAAAAGAAGAGATCCTTTCAAGGAAGATGAAGACCAGTAACCTTTGTGAAATTGGCAAAGAAAGAAACTGTGGCAATCTGGTTGTACCTGTAACAAGATGGGAAAGCCATGATTGCAGAGTGGATTTTAACAGATAGACATGTGGAGAAAAGAACTCTCTGTGATTCTAGAAGTTGTGGACCACAAGGGAGTTTTTAATTTTCTGCAAGATCTTCTGACATCTGTTTTTGCAGATATGTTAAAAATTTTAGTGCCTGCCCTAAGTAGAACTCTCAGGATGTGATTCCAGAGTGGAATCAACTTGAAACAGCTTAAAATGGCACTCACGGAATGATCTATCTATTGTAAAATTGGTAAATAAATAAAAATTTATTAAAAGAAGTACTGGTATGTTTCCTCCATATATGCAATACATGATATTGGAGAAAAAATTATGACATTTTTTTCTCTCCTCTGGCATACTTAAACCTTTAACTCCCAAGATCTCATCAGTATTTCTCCTTACTGTCAGACATATAGTTGTTGTGATGTTTGTTTGGAGAATTTGGTATTGAATCACCTTACATTCCCTTAGTTTATATTTTTCTTTATTCTCATCACTTGTCTGCTGATATTGTACTGATATTTTTAGGAGAAATTCTGTCTTGGTCACTCATGGGAGTTAAAGGTTAACTGAGCTGTTACACATTTGAGAGACACTAGGCTGATGTCTGGTGTAAAAAGGTTGTTATAAATATCTTTTCAGGTTTATTTTATTATTACGAGTTCAATATGATATGTTATCTTCGGATCAGTCCAGTAGAGAGACGTAAATTTTAAAATCTTTATGCTGAGAGAATTATCAAGTTCCCGTACTTTTCGAGTAGTCCAGTACACAGTTCCCACATTTACAAGTCACTGCCGTAGCTATGGCAACAGACCAACGAATTCTCGAACATGTAGAGCGTAACATCTTGGAACGTCGAGAAGAACGGCTGGGTACACGTTTTGACTGAGGGATTTAGAGAACTTTATCTCCTTTATTTTTTTTCGACGACGTTGGATTTGTTTAACAGACATGTCTGCGGAAGGATCATACAGGCTTGAACTAGAACCGCAGAAAAAGAACGTATTTGTAACACAGTTGCGGTAAGCGCCAAGCCACTTTTTTTGCATTATTTAGTAGTTGCGAGAATACTCCTAACCTATTTGAATTGCGGTTTTTTTTCTTCGTACAGAGAGGAAGAGGAAGATGACGCCCAGATTCGCAAATTTCCCGTTGTTGAAGAGGTATCGTTCTATTATTCTATGTAAATGCTGTATATAGCATCTTGTTCCGGTTTTAATAAGCGTTTTCATATGATATCTCTTTCATTGGTAAACAGCTCTTGGTCGAAGCTTCCGCTGGAACCTATAGAATTTATGTTTCCATTACTATTTGTGCAACTCTTGGTTAGATGAATAGGTAATGGAGATGGTAGAGAACTAATGAAATTGTTGAAATGCAACCATCACTTTGAACTTATTAACTTCGTTTTACCGCAAGGTTATTAACAGTGAATGTCGAAATTGTTTACATTTCTTTTTTCACCACATGGTGATTTTCATTTTCTGAAAATAATTGCATATACTCCTCGGTACAACAGCGTAGCATACGCCGCACGGTTACGGGGGCATTATACGGAAAAGTTGTGAAACATCTCTACAAAGTTAAACTTCATCGTCATGATGTTACTTCTCGCGCGCGGTGAACCCTTCTCGTAAGCCCAAGCCTGAGTCGATGAACGACTCATGGGTCCGATAAACGTAGCTTAATTGATCAGTGGCCATTCGTCGGACAATAAAAACGGTTTTTTTTGCTAAAAAACGAAATCATGAACACGAGATGATCATCAACGAACACAGTTGTAAGTCAATGTAATACGTTTTCTAGAGATGTGTTCAATAGTTCTGGATCAGTGCCCTGTACTATTACTGTATATCATGAATTAAACTTCACCTTTTGACTTCACATGAAAAATATTGAAAGCTTTTACACAGTGCAACTCCATCAAACATGTGGGTAGTGGTCGACCTAAACACAGGGGTCTTGGCAGAGTGTTTGAGATTGACTTAATTTAACCTTGTGCGTACTGCGTGCAAATGAAAACTATATGCTGCCTTGGTAATGGCTGTGTGGTCAAAATCTGCCTATTATCAGTTAACCCTAACCCCCTAAGCGAAGGGAGAATGTCCACTTCTCCCACCTACGGGATCCTTGACCATGCAGTGTCAATTGCGGTTAGCTTCCAGCTTTCCCTGGACAGTTAATTGGTAGTATGACTCCTTGATGGGGAGAGGCTCTGAGGATATGTCTTGGACTAGAGCACAATACAATAAGGACCTTGTGATTTATTGAGACAGACATGCTTAGGGAAGGCTATGATCAGGCGTCTTATTACTAATAGTACTTTGCCCAGGACAACAGACCTAAAGTATATATATGTCCCCAGAAAATGAAAGACCCTCTTTAGTGTTGGTCTTGTTTTGTGCTTTTCTATTTTTCACAATTTTTGTTGCTTTGTTTTCACACCAATTTCTTTATTCCTCAAATTTTGAATGAAGTTTTTCTTATTTTTGTCTAATTTGTAGTCAGCAAGTAAACTGCTTGACACAGGCCTTAACACAGTACAGTCAACTTTACTACTTAAGAAACAAGTTGAAGTTGAAAAGGTTCAAGAAGATTTGGATATCAAAAGACGTCAGTTTGCAGAACGCATGGCAGCCTGCAAGGCTAAAGAGGAGGAGCTAAAAAAGAAACAAGCTCAGGTGAAGGAAAAAATTCAAACCTAACTGGGCTTTCCTCCTTTTGGGTGAAGTCTTAACCGCAGGTCTAAAAAAATCAGTAAAAATCTAAAAATTTTGGTGAGTGCAATGCCTACTTTTTGCATGCCTCACTCACAGTTCCACACGGCACTCAACCTCAATGTTAATTCTTTTCCTGATTTTTTCAGAGTTGGGTGATTGACTTTGCCCAAATGGAGTGTCTGCTCATACATGTAGTTTACCTGCGAGGTGATATAATTAACTGATGCTTCTTGAAAAGCTTTGCATACTGTTCTTCTGCCAAGAATCTGAATTTCCTCAGTGTTAAAGCTACTGGTTTTGACAAAAATCCAAGAAGTATTTTTATTGTGATATTTTGTAGATTCGTGAACGAGTTGGAAAGTTTGAGAAGTTTATAGAAGAAAATGATGCAAAGAGAAGACGGGCAATACAGAAGTATCAAACAGAATTAAAACTTAAAACTCAGAAAAATAGGGAGCTTGATGTTTTATCAACTGAATTAGAGCAGCTGAAAACAAGGTATGCATACTAGACTTGTAGAGCTCCTCAGATTAAATTCAATTTAGACATTATTGACTGGTTTTTTGTAATGAAAATTAAGTTGTTCTTATGAGAAACTATTGGAGAGAGTGTTTTCTTAGAATTTTAAGTTTTAAAGTAATAGTATGCTAAATTGAGGTAATTATTTGATTTAAAGGGTTAAGGGAGAGGAGTTTGCTTGATTATTTGGTCATCTCTGAAACCACTTTAATGTGGCTTAATTTTTGCATTATTTTTTACAATGCACAAAAAGTTTAGAGGAATAATTTTGTTGCCCAGCACAAATGTTTAGTTATCAATTGATCTATTTATTCCCAGAAAAGAAGCTCTGATGGCAAAGCTGGCAAGATACTCAGTTTATGAAAAGTTTTTGATGAAAGTTCTTGATCAGTTACCAGAAGGTACCAGCACAGTTTTTAGTTTTAATGTTTAGCATGAAATAGAGACACCCTAACCCTTTCATCTCCTGAGAGAAAGATCTCATGAGTAATTCTCCTTGGTGTTTTCCACACATTTCTTGTGATCTTATTTCAAAGAATTTGGTATTGGATCAATCAATAATCCCCTAGTAGATAATTTTTTGATTCTCATTACTAATCTGCTGGATATTGTTATGATATTGTAAGGAGAAATTCTGTCTTGGTCACTCATGGGAGTTAAAGGGTGAAGGTACCACAGAAAGAAATATTTAGGCTTTCACACAAACTGAAATAGCATGCAAATCTTTTTTAATATACCTTAGTATATAGTTAGGTATACATTTCCTTAAATCTCAAGAAGTCTTTCAAAATTGAGACCTTTTGACAGAATCAGAGCTTATTCTTTCATACCAAGACACTTTACAAACAAATTTTAAATTTGACAATGCTTGTAATCCACACCATTTTTTTCCCATCAGAATGTGATCTGTACATATCAATTTAGGAAAGGGTGTGTGGGATTTTTAAGTTTAATCAACACTTTGTTACTTTTTAATCTTTTATTTAACTTCAAACTAGTTGGAAGAAGAGGCTTAGGGGTGTTTTTTTTTTCTAAGTTAGTAATTAAGACTTGCAAGATTACAAATACTATATTTCCTCAAATAAGCCCCCAAGCTCTAAAAGCACCCTTCCCTGAAAAGGCACCCATCCCCCAGCCCAAAATGTCAAACAAGTACCCCTCTCCAGTAAAGGCCCTCCCACCCTGCTCAAATAAGCCCCCATGCTCTAAAAGCACCCTCCCCTGAGAAAGCACCCATCCCCTAGGCCAAAATGTCAAACAAGCACCCCTCTCCAGAAAACACCCCCCTGCCCACCCCTCCCTTATTTTCTTAAGGTGTAGGAATACTTGGAAAACTTGTTTCTATTGCCACTTTATTTACAACTTTTAAGCTTCAACTACAGCAAATCAACACAGGAGAATTATAAGCACCCCTCCCTAGATTAGGTACTCTCCCTCCAATAACAACCCCCCTTCTTTTTAGCTCGTAATTTAATAAGTGCCCAGGCCCTTATGTGAGGAAATGCAGTATTTGAAAAATGGACCTTGTTCTTATTCTATGGTGATTAAAACTGTTAATTGAAAGGGATTTGTTTGTTTCTTCTCACTTAAGACTACCTTGAGGCAAATGACTCCATGTTGATGGGAATCATGATGAGGTTTAGAACGCTGAGTGCAACTAACCAATCACTGGTACAGATGTTAGGGGACACTTCAGATCAGGTGAATATGAATTCAGAGTAATTTTTGGCAGGAGGACAGTTATGGATTTTACTAGTTGTCCACTGTCCATCAATTTTTGTGGTGCTCTTTTCCATGCAGTCAGGAGATGGACTTCTGGGCCCAGTCATTTGAAGGCTAATTAGTGCTAAGTCAGTGTTAAATTAATCCAGGTTTCTTCATTTCTCTGATCAAAAGCCTTTAAGGGAAAATTTTCCCTATTCTTTTTAGAACATCCAATGACCAAATTGTAACCAAAAAGATATGAACTGAAATTTCTTTAAAAGCTTTCAGGCCTGAAATCAAATTTCACCCTAACCCAGCTTTAAACAACTCAGGCCTGGGCTTCTGTTCCCTTGTGAAACATTAGCTAGATGACTCGTGTCACTGGCTGATGGTTTACTACTGCTTTCTGGATCTCACTGTTCGCGTTTGAACTTTGGGGAGTTCATTGTGTTGTGTTTTTGTGTTAATGGGTACCACAGAATTGTTAAGGGGACATTTTGTACAATCTGTGCTCTCTGCAGTGAACTAGGAGGCTATTCTAAAGGGTTACATTGACTACCTCGTGATCAAAAATTGATATTCATAAGCCCTTGAGCAGAAAAAAGTGAGCCTCTAATCTAGAGAGGTATAACCCTTTTAATCCTAGAACTGGTTAACATGTAAATTCTCTTTGCAATTCTAATATTTTATTTGCAAATAGGTTATGAGAACAGACCATTGATCAGTCAGATGGTCTTATCTTGATATAACACCAAATTCTTAGATATATTTAAAAAGGAAATTATGGCAGTCAGTTGGGAGAATTACTAATTAGATCATGGGAGTTGCAGGGATGGTAAAGTGACTCAGGAGAGTCAAGGGATGGGCCCTGATAGACCACTTTTTGTTTTTGGAGGAGTAGAGGGCTTCGTATATATTTATGATTTTTTAAAAAATCTTATCAGGTTGAAGCAGAACAGCAGAAGTTACAAGACATGAATCAAGAACACACTCAGAACTTATTGGTGAGAATCAATTCATAGCCATTATACATTTCATTTTACAGTGAAATTTTAAAACGTGTTTATGAGCGTCACAAGTTAGGGAAAAGTCGGAGAGACAACTCTTTGAGGTTGGGTGGATTAGTTAGTAAATATTGATTCGTCAGGAAAATTTTAATTAATGTATCTAAAGAAACGTCATGGAAAATTGAATAGACTTCTACCACCCAGTGATTCTAAAAGCTCAGCAATTGATAACAATTGTTTTCCCCTTAGCTTATGAACAGTGAACTAGCATCACTTCAAGAAAAACTGGAGGACACTGTGCAAAGAAAGGAGAAAGTCGATCAGTTCTTAATCAGTAGTAAAGGCGTTTTTAGACAACAGAGTGAAATGCTCGGCTGCATAAGACTTGCAATCGACAACATCGCAGAAAAGTGTCAAAGACTGCGAGGGATGCCTGTAGAGAAACTCGATGTCGATTCAAAGCTCAAAGTAATTCAAGTAAGTATTTGATAATTAGATTTGTTTCTGATTACGCTTAAAGTTATACTCTAACCTACACAAAATGGTGGGAAAACATGAGGAATAGCTTTCAATCGTGGTCAAAGGGGAGTGAGTTGCAATTTTTTTTTAGTATTGACGTAGAATGCCAATGCGGGTTCTTGCCTTAGCTTGGTAAGTGCGGTTAAGTGAACGGTGTGTAGAGCAATTTTCAAATGACTGTCGAAAGTAATCCAGAACTTGCTCTTTATTGGGTTTACTTCGTTATGTGATTGGTCCAGAAACCTCTTGCCACTTTCTTAACCAATCGGATTCAAAACTAAAACCAATCGCGACTTGGTCCTCGTTTTTTCCCGCGCTTCAAGCCGTTTGCTTTTTTTTTTCTTTGAGTTCTCATTGGTTCTCCGTGATAGTTTCCTTCCCATGATTGGCTTTCGTGATTACTTTGGTCATTGTACGAGGACGCTCAATCGAAAAGCGCTCTACTGACCAATCAGTACGTGGGTAGTATCTCTGTTATTTTCTATTGCACAAGAACGTATTTTTGAAGGGAAGAACGTTAAGTAGTGTGAGACAATTTTTTGAGACTTACTAACAACGATTATTGGTTTTGTTATTCCATGAGTCACTTGGAAGGAATAAATAAGTAAGCTTTCAATTCTTAGAATAGAAGAGGCTTTGTTTTTTTCCTCAGAATGTAACCAAAATAGTTGAATTTAGTCAGCAAGTTTTTCTTATCTGTTATTTACGCGGAAATACGTCGGGCATCTTCATTACACTATTTTCTTTTTCTTTAAATCTTACAAAGTAACCGTTTTCCAGCTCGTAGCCTCTGTAATGATAATACGACATGAGTTAATCTTTCTTCACTTTTCAGGAACACATCTTAGAGCACACTGACATCCTGAAGCTGGCCAAACTCCCAGAGTCCGCGGCGGCCTCTGAAGGACTTCAACCCAGTCCATCAAGCATCCTCAAGAACAGAGTATCCCGGCATGCACTGGTAGACTCGCCGTTTAAGTCTAGTCCATCCAGAGGTCTCAAGAATGTGCAGATGGCGCTGAGATTTGCTGCTGATGTCAAGCAATCATAGTTGTAATTGCAGTTCTGCAGAGAAGTCTCCACTTAAGTAGCAAATAATAACGTTAATTATGTAAGCCAAGCCTCGAGAGGTGTACCTCCGACGCAATTGTTGTAAAGGAAGTTTTTGCCCTTCAGCCCACAACCCCTGCTTGCAATAATGAAGATTGAGATGAAAAAATTACTTCTATATTTCACTTAATTTTATTGGGAAAAATGCAGTAGTCCCTCGGTGTTAATCGACATGGGGATAAATCAAACTAAAAGAATTTGTTCTTTGGCAGCAGAGTTTCATAGAGAGGGGTGCAATAACTCTCTTGACTGCGTAGGCTGCTGGTCCCCAAAAAGTGGGAGCAAATGGGAAGGGAGGGTAGGTAGTTTTGTGATTACTTCAGTGTAAAATAATCCACATTATTTTTGGAAATGACTTGGAAGTAGATTACTGATCATTAGCTTAAAAATCGAAGTTGATCTCTAACGTTTTCGAACATTGAATCAATAACTTTCCTACTGTTCTCTTTTCATTAATCTCCCTTTTTTATGAATGCATTTTTTACAAATCATTGGAATTTTGTAAGAAACAATGTTGTAATGCTGAAATTATATTTATTGTGTATATATGACAATTTTTTACAGTAATAAATCGATTTCTTAATTATATTTATCCCTTTTGTTTTGGTGTTTCTTTGTACGTCATGAAACTTCTTTGAATTTCTTCCTGCTCATTTCCTTCCTCGTAGCCACAGATAGAGGTTACTTTACAGATATTATTTGCAGACAGTCTTTGAACAGAAGTGTTATCCCTGACTTTTTATTCCTATAATGTGATGGCCAAGGCCGTATCATTTGTTCACTACATTTCTTTGACAAGGGGGGGATTGTGTAATGAGAGAACATAGAAATGATGGCGTCCCCCCCAGACGTGATCAGGCACTGCAAGACCACCCTTTTGCAGCCTCTACACGACACCCTTTGCCAGTGTTGGAGTGAAGGTGGTGTTCTACAAGACATGAGAGATGCCAAGATCGTCACCCTGCACAAAAACAAAGGCGGCAGGAGCGACTGCAACAACTTCAGAGGCATCTCCTTCTTGAGTATCATGGGCAAACCGTGTGCCATAGTCTTGTTATTGCATCTTCAACAGCTGGCGGAACGCATCTACCCAGAGTTCCAATGGGGCTTTCGAGCAGAACGTTCTACAGTGCACATCATCTCCTCCTTTCGCCAACTAAAGGAGAAGTGCAGGGAACAGCAGAAGCCCCTCTACATTACCTTCATAGATCTGACCAAGGCCTTCAACCTGGTGAGCTGGAACGGGCTCTTCAACATCCTCCTGAAGATCGGATGCCCCCCGCAGCTTCACAACATGATCAGATCTTTCCTTTACGGTATGAAGGCAACCATCCAATACGAGGGCAGCATTTCCGAACCTTTGACATCAAAAGAGGCGTGAAGCAAGGCTGCGTCCTTGCTCCAACCCTCTTCAGCATCCTCTTCTCCCTCCTTCTGAAACATGCTTTAGGGAACTGTCACTTTTATGTCTATAATTAGGACTTCTTGGTGAAAACCTCTATCTTTCTCTGTCGGGTAACGGTTGCGAACTACCGTTCGCAGGTCGAGGGTTGCATCCCCCAGGCAACTGTAGTGGGTGGCAGGTCACATAGGGAACTGAGGAGGGTAACGAGTCTGGCTTTCTCTGTCATACGGTTGCCGTTCATTAAGACTTCATGGAGAGGCTTAAAAACTAAACCATCAACAAGTGTGAAAAATTAATTGGTTAGCTAATATTGATTTAAACGAATTAAGCTGCTTTGTATTTGGGAAGACGGAAGAACAAACTTTACTTGACCATTTCTGCCAAGTTGTGCATTTTTCGTGGGCTATGACCGGTAGAGAACTAGTCAGCATAATTTTTGTCCAAGTTAGTGTTCTTTACAAAGTTGTCTCCCACACCACTGGTCTCAGATGTTCACCTCTATCTTCTCTCTCAGAATGTTCATTAAGTCTATATTTCATCTGTTTTTTGTCACAGACAAGGATTAAAGGCAGTGCTGCTGCTGTAAACTCTACCACAGCAACCATGATAAAAGATGGCACATAAGTGTGGAAGTATTCTGTCATAAAACCTGTTGATTGTAAACACTTGAAATAACCCGGGTTGATGAAGGTCAAGGCTGCGCTCTCAATATGATATGAAATCGGCGTATTGCGTGACATTCGACGACAATCGAGTAACTATATCATAACTGGTTTAAATTCATCTTATTTCTCACTTTTTAGAAAAACTTTACTGATGCAAATTCGCTAAGTACTCCGAGTGAAGCTTTCGAGTCAATGTCAGTTTCAGAGAAACCATGATAGATGGGACTGAGGTAGGGGAGAGGCAGGTGCATCAGAAGGACTGATACAGGCTTGAACTAGAACCGCAGAAAATCAAGGTACGTGATTGTAACACAGTTGCGGTAAGCGTCAATCCTCGTTTGGATGCCATGATTCCTGCATTATTCAGTAGTTACGAGAATACTCCTTGAATCTATTTGATGATGATCAGCGTAATTGATCAGTGGCTATTCGTCGGTTACAGTCATATCAGACAATAAAACAACATTTTGTCGCGTAAAACGGAATTACTAACTCTGTAACTCCCGTGAGTGACCAAGAATGAATTTCTCCTTACAAAATCCATACAATTTCAAGCAGACAAGTGATGAGGATAAAGAGAAATATCAAGTGGGCGATTATCAGTTGATCCAGTAACAAATTCTCAGAACTAAAATCATAAGAATTGTACAGCAGTAAGTAAGGAGAATTACTAAGATGATCATCATCAATCGATCGAACATAGTGGCAAGTCAATGTAATACTGTTTCCTGGAAATATGTTCAATAGTCCTGGATCAGTGCCTGCACTAAATATCACTGTAGATCATGAATTAAAATTTACCTTTCAACCTCACATGGATAATACTGAAAGGTTATACAAATGCACAGTGCATTGTGTTAAGGCCATTACAACTCCATCAAAGGTGGAGGTAGTAGTTGACGTTTAAATACAGTGTCTTGGCAGGGTGTCTCAGATTGACTAAATTTAATCCCGCGCTTACTGCATGCATATGAAGACTACATGCTACCTTGGTAGTTGAACCTAAGGTTTAAGCTAATGGCTGAGCGGTAAAAATCTGCCTACTATCGGTTAACCCTGACCCACCTAGTAAAGCGAGGGGAGAATGTCGCCAACAGGTTACACCAACAGGTAACGGTGTCCATCGCAGTTAGCTTAATTTCCAGAATATTTTCAGATTTCCTAGACAGTTTGTTTGTAATATGACTCCCTGATGGAGAGAGACTCTGAGGATAAGTCTTGGACTAGAGCACAATACAGACCTTGAATGCAAGGACCTTGTGATTTACTGAGACAGGCATGCTTAGGGAAGCCTATGATCAGGCTTCTTATTACTTACAGTACTTTGCCCAGGACAACAGACCTATGTCCCCAGAAGATGAAAGACCCTTTTTAGTGTTGGTTTTGTTTTGTTTCACAATTTTTGTTGCTTTGTTTTCACCCCAATTTCTTTATTCCTCAAATTTTGAATGTAGTTTTTCTTATTTTTTTGCTAATTTGTAGTTGATAACCATACAATGATCATTCATTATGGAATTTATGCTGGAGATGAAGCTTTTTCATCGCCAAAGCCTTTATTAGGAACGAGAGGCACTTTCCCATAGGCTGTTAAAGTTGAACAGTCTGGAGAAATATAGTCCTCGCAAGCGTTGAAGAAAGATTAGTAAAAAAATTCTAAGTTACCTTATTAAACCACCGTCTCAAGCAAAATTTTCTTTAATTTTCATGTTACTTGGTCTTAAATAATTTTTATTTTTCGTGCGGGTCACAGGTGGTTGGTCGCTGTTCGCAGGTCCTGGATCATAGGCTACTGGGGCGGGTCACGGGTCACGGGTAGCTGGCTGCTTTGGCGGATCACGGGTTGGGGTAACCGTTCGCGGGTCGCAGGCTTCTGTGGTGGGTAACGGGTCGTGGATCGCAAACTTTCTTTTTACACATCAAACAACCTTACTTGTGTGCGGTTTTAACCCGCCGCCTGACACCTCCCCCACAGGGTAAAAGCCACCTCCCTTCCTCTTTAAGAACTGTCTCACACAGAATGTTTGTGATTCCCGACCACACATTATCAAGTTATCCTGTACGTGTTTATTGCTTTGGCATTCTCTCTGACTTTCTCTTATAACAGTTACCTTTTATTACCACTTCTTAGTGAACCTTACAAGTAAATCGTCATTAAACATGTGCAAATTCGTTTCATTTGCTCATATTTGGATTTATTAAATAACGTTTCGCTTCGCGCTCGGGCCGCAAACGACACTACACGGGCGCAAATAAACAATATTCCCTCAAAAAGTCATGTTATTCTATTATTAGCACTTCTTGGTGAAGCCTTTATCTTTTATTGTTGTACGGGTCGCGGACTACCGTTCACAGGTCGAGGGTTGCATGTCACAGGCAATTGTTGCGGGTGGCGGGTCACGAGTCATGGGTCAAGGGTTGCTCGTCATAGGCCACCTTGGCGGGTAACGGGTCTGGCTTTCTCTGTTATACCGTCGCTATTTATTAGGACTTCTTGGTGAGGCTTAAAAATGAACCATCAACAAACGTGTGAAAATTAATTTGTTAGCTAATTTTTGAATGAAACGAATTAAGTTGTTTTGTATTTAGGAAGAGGGCAGAACAAACTTGACTTGACCATTTCTGCCAAATTGTGCAACTTTCGTCGGCCAGCATAATTTTCATCCAAGTTAGAGTTCTTTACAAAGTTGTTTCCCATACCACTGGTCTCAGATGTTCACCTCTGTCTTCTCTCTCAGAATGTTCATTTAGTCCATATTTCACCTGTTTTTTGTCACAGACAAGGATTAAAGGCAATGCTGCTGCTGTAAACTCTACCACAGCAGCCATGATAAAAGATGGCACATAAGTGTGGAGGTGATCTGTCATAAAACCTGTTGATGGAAATTAATGAAACAACAAATGACAACAAATAATGAACAAGTTTTGTCTACCAGCTTCACCAATTCAACCGTGCACACTTCTTGAAATCTTGAGAAAGGGGGGGGAAAGAGGATGGGAGCAGGGGTTCCTTGAGTCAATTTTTGTTGAGTATGTGGTGCTGGTCTTTCAAAACCCTACCCTATTGCAATCTATCCTGTGTTCAATTATAGACGCCATGTTAGTAACTTTTAGGAAAATATAGTTTTTGTCATCCTAACTTACTCACTTTTTAACTGTCAGTCTTGCCATTTTTAAATCCCTTCTTACCAGAATTTTTTTTTCTTACCAAAATCCTGAAATGTGCAACCCCATTCTAGTACATCTATTGAAAATGCAACCCCATTAGAGCCAATCCAGTTGTGAAAATATGACCCCATCCAGTGGCACATCCCCATTAGCTTATTATTAGGAAGTACACCCACCATCCCCCTCCCCTGGCTTCAAATATATAGCTTGCTTATATTCTCTCTTTGCCGGCTGTCCACCCCATATTCCTTGGTGTTTTTATCAGGTATCTCTTGCTTACCTTACCTGCCCCAAACAAGGCAATGAAAGATTCATCACCTAGTAATCATTCAGATAGATTCAAATTTAAAGCAAGCCTTGACTGAAAAAATTCTAAACATAATTTTGACCTCTGCCTTACTGATTATGTGTTGCAATTTCTTGGAATTTGTTGCTTTGGGTGTGGTTGAAATAAAAAAAATTCTAGATCATTTCACATTTCTATGATTTCTGTTTTACTTACCAGCTAGGGGAGGTCCAGCTGCAGTCATTGTTCCATAGAAGATAGCACTTAAACCAAAAGCAGATGCTCTCTTCCTAGGCTCCAAGTAATTATTCATCATGCAAATGTTAAATGTGCCTATTTCAAAACCATCTGCCAAGCCATACAACAAAGAAAATGCTATAAGATACCCATAGTCTTTGGCCTGAGTAAGCAAAACAACAGATGAGCCATCCAGCGCAAGACCAACCATAAACACATAGATGGGATTCACAGCAGGTATGTTACACAGGATTCCACTGAGTAGTCGGCCTAGAAATGTTGTGATACCAATGTAGATAAAAAGCCTTGATGCTGCATCAGCTGAAACATGGAGGCCCTCTGAGAACCTCACCTAAAATTTCAATGAACAGGAATTTGTATTCAATTCTGACATTCATGGGCATTTAGTTAATAAATAAAAAGGGTTGGCTTTATAATCTGTTCTTATCAATTATAATATGTAACTGGAAATCTTTACAAGTGGTGTATGGCAAGAGCTGGAAGTAATTAACCTTCTACCTCCCATGAGTGACCAAGACAGAATTTCTCCTTACAATATCAATACAATATCAACCAGACAAGTGATGAGAATAAAGAAAACTATCAATCTGGGGATAATTAGTTGACCTAATACTAAATTCTCTTAAATAACATCAAAAGAATTGTATGGTTGACAGTAAGGAGAATTACAAATTTGGTCTGGGAGTTAGAGGGTTTAAGTAACCTGCAAGCAGGTCCTATCATCAGCACTGTGGGAGATGCATTTCTCTGCCTGTATGAGTCAAGGAGAGGTTTGACCTCACCAGCTTGTGTTATGCTCAAGGCCTCAAACTTTCTCACAGGCGAAGAAAAGCTCATGTTTAAGTGCCTATAATGAGGGCCTGATCACAGGCAAGGGCTAAAGAGGCAACTGGCCTTCAAGTTGACTCTTGGAGTTGATGTGCTCAAAGATGATGTGTTCGGGTGATTATGCAATCACACCACTGCTATTTAGTCATCTGACTTGGAACATGACTTGTAAGATAACAGACCTTATTGGACTAACTACTCTGTCTACTTATCATTACAATGATTATTAATATGACCAACCAGCCATTAGAGCAAACTTTCATTGCTCTGACTTTGGGGGACTCTATGGTGAGGTAATTTACTGTATTATTCTATAAGCAACAATTTCATCAGCAACGTACCAAATGTAACCTTGGGATGTGGTGCCCTATAAAGGCAACTGACATTGAGAGTGTTAAAACCACAAACACCTTCTCCTTGAAGACTGAGAAGTCTATCCACTTGTTCGATTTTCCTATTTTTTTTCCTTTCTCTTCATTTAAGTCTTCAAGTACCTCATTTTCTTTCTCAGTTGCACTTTTTTCCTTATTTACTAAAACTGGACTAAATGTAAGACCAAGGACACAAACAGCTGAGTAAATTGCCGCAGTTAGACGATAAGTTTTTCTCCAATCAAAGGAGTCCAACAAGCCTTGAAGAACTGGTGCCATGCCAAGAACACCCAGCCCTGTTCCTGAGGCAAGAATGCCAGTTGCTATGGATCGGTTCCTTTCAAAGTACTGTGACGTAACCACATAAGATGACACAAAAATGCAACTGCCTCCAAATCCAAACAGAACACTGTAAGTCCCATATATAACATAAATACTTGAAGCAAAAGATGATAGTAATAAACCAATGGATCCTGATAATCCACCCAATATTGCTGTTAAACGGCAGCCAAGGCGATTCACTAACATGCTCGTCAAAGGTCCAAGGACAAATATTAAGGCTATTCCGACAGAACCAACCCATGCTGCAATAAAAAATAAAGGCAAACAAAAAATTGTTACTAGATTTTTTTTTCAAAACAATTTAAAACTGGTAGTGCATATAAAGATGAGTCTAGGTTAAAGAAGCTTTTATTTTGTATTTTATTATGTATTTTGTCAAAGTGTGGAAAGAGTAGTGCCATAATTTACATAAAAAAAAACTTTCAAGTGGGCTGGAATTGAGCAAGGACAAAATTTGCTTGCAGTTTGTGTTGGTGCTGGAGAAAATCACTTAACTTGGGCAGCTTACATCATTTGCATACTCTTCATACTGTTCTCTATAAATTTCTTAAGGTGCTAACTTTGGTTGGCTATCATTTCCTTTGTTCTCATGACCTTAATGTGTGATTCAGTGTGATAATGTTAGGAGAAATTAGATGCTAGTCATTATTAAGTGTCAATGGGGTAATGAACAGGTCAGTTCAGTGTTGCTCATCTGATCAACCCTTAGAGGCAATGAATACACATCCAAAATGATCCTTTGCTCCTTATTCTTTTAACAACTCTTCACTTATATTATAACAGTTAAAAAAATATTGAGCAAATTGATGTTTTTTTTTAGTAAACTAACTGAGATAGAAGGCGATTGCATCAGCATACCACACCATCTAGAGTCATATGTACTTGTACTTGTATTTAAGATAAATGTAAATACAAAATGAAATACGCGCAATCGGTGTTCCAAACCTTAGATTTGGTCATAAATTGATAAAAAAAAAACAAACAAACAAACAAAAAACCAAAAAAAAACAAGCTTATACATAGCAAAAATTAAGCCGTTAATGATAAGCTTTAGAATTTACTTTGACAATTCAAAAACTAACATAATGAAATTTTAACCAAAGAACGCGCATAAAAAATTTTGAAAAAAATCCAAGTGAGTGAACAGTCATCACACATGAAAAATTATTTCAACTGTTTCTTCCATGAAGTTACCTGTCTTTTCTCGTGACTCTTGAAAGTAGTCCATTAACACTGGAAACAGAACTCCAAAGTTGAGCGAGATTCCAAACATCAAAGCGATCATAACAGTTGCACAAAAGCAGACCAACCAGGACCAGGGACTGTCCATCTCTTTTCTACACATGCCGCGATTTTCTTCAGTTAAGAGCGATACTGCTGACTTATTGGGTTCATGCATTTTTCGCATTCCCTCTCGAGTGAAAGTTGTTTGAATAAAATCTGATTAGATCAAGTGTTCGATTTCGTTGCACAACACAATCATCACTGGCAACTTGTGACACGTTGTGTTGTGAAACACTTTTGAAATAACCCGGGGCTGATAAAGGTTGAGGCGGCGCTCTCAGTGTGATATGACATTGGCGTATTGCGTGACATTCGATGACAATCGAGTAACTACATCATACCTGGTTTAAATTCATCTGATTTCTCACTTTTTGGAAAAAATTTCATAATGCAAATTCGCTAAGTAGTCTGTTAAAGCCTGTTCCCTTCCCACCTCCGAGTGTGAAGCCTTCGAGTCAATAACTGCGCACCTACCCCACCCCTAATCCAACAATAACAATAACTGGAATTGAACTAGGGGAGAGGTAGGTGCGTCAGACACTGATATTTTTAAAAAAGATATTCTTCTACTATGTATACCCCCCTAAAAATGTATCTACTCAAATTTCTAAGCATGCGCATTGTTGCGTCATGAAGTAAACACTCCGAGAAGATGGCGCATGAAGCTGTGCTTCGCAAAACAGTTCCAGTTGGCGGGAAAAATGATTCCTATTGCCCAAATAGCGTTATGCTTTTGCCTGATAGACCAATAACCTTTGGTAGAATAATATCTCCAGATGTAAGTGTACGTTTGACGTCAAAAACTGCACCATTAATGATTTCTCGTCGACATGCCACTGTTTCTGTTTCGGCTGGCAAATGGACGATAGTGGATCATGAGGTACAGTAAGCTCTGGGGAATTAATCCTTCAAGGGTCGCTGGCTAATAAAGCATGATATTCATTCATATTGGTTGCGAAATGCGAACATTTTCTTTTTATCGCGCAAGTTTTTATGCACTGCTAAGGGCGAGAAAATTTCGTACATTCAAGTTAAAATTGCTGCGAGCGTTTTAATTTTTTTGGTCGCAGTACGCTTGTTGTTGTGTTTTCGGTGATGAATATTCAATACCTCGAAGAAGTTGCAGCTGGTTGGATAACTCTCAAAAGACCACCCTAATTAAAATTGCGCTTTCCATCTAAAGGTTTCTTGAGTTATGTAAAGACCATCTTTAAACAGCTGTTAGTGTCCCGTATTGTTGAATGCTTTATGAAACGGTTTGTAGCCCTTGGCTTTGGTGAACCAACAGTGAGAAAATAACCTTTCGTTGGACTTTCTGATGGGCGTTAATTTATTCAGCGTCGTGCAGGATTTACATGTAAATACCTGCGGCAGAATTAATTCCCCATCATAAATATCTTTTTGTTCAGTTCTTACGATTTCAAAATTAGTTTTTTCTCCATTGTGCGAATGAAGTTGTGATCAAGTTCATTCCTTTTCTTTTTTTCTGCTTGATATTATCACAGTCAAGCTGTAAAATATCAAGATGGTTATGTTCAGGAAGAAAAAAGCTGAAACTTTTGCTGTTATTGAAATAAAAAAAAATGTTGTTGAAAGTGTCATGTAGTATGGTTTTTAAATTGAGACTGAACAAGAATCTTAATGGAAATATGTTCTTACAGATTTTATTTATGACAAAGTTGTAGGGTGATTATTGATTTCCTATGCATGGTGTATGCATTATTCACCTGTAGAAAATATTGAAGGATGATATATATCATGCCTGGTATTTCATGTAAACATTGTTCAAGGAACTCTTGACATCAGAAAAATGCAATGGAGGACTGAAGAAGGAGTCATGTCGGTGAACACAACCTTCTTCACAACACCCAACCGGCTGTTCAACATAGCAGATAATTAATATTTTTTTGGCTGTAATAGACTGATATCAGTGATGACTTTCTTAGCAATTTAGTCCAAAAAATCCTGTCCTACTCTACCAAAACAGTTGCTGCTTGGAGTGTTTTCCCTGGTAGTCTCTAATAAGGACTAGTTCTTGAGTTAACTGAGTGGGCCATTTCTAAAGCTTCTATGTCTATTTTTATTTGTATCTTTCAGAGCTTGAATGGAGTGTTTATCAATAGAAACAGGATTCAACCAAGCATCCCTCATTTACTAGAACCTGGTGATCGAGTGGTTTTTGGTGTTGGAGTAAACTCTAATACACCAGAATTTGAATATGTTTTTGAACACATTGCTAGAGGCCGCAAAAGGTGTGCAGACTCATCTCTGTTGAGTAACAAAGACAGCTCAGTTAAACAGAGGAAAATCTTCAGAGAAAGTGGTGGCTATGTAATGGTACCATTCAGTACAGATCATCCTGCTGTTCATGAAGCCATTAGTGTTGCTGAAGAAAAGATTCAAAAATTGAAGGCTTCATTAGAAGAAAAAGAGAAATGCCATGCAGATGTTGTTCTGCAGTTGGAAAAAACAGAGAAGGAGCTACAAACTAAGCTGTTAGATCAGAAGGCCACATTAGAAAAAGAAAAACATGAGCTGGAAGGTGCTCTTAAGACACTGTTTGCAGAAAAGTTGATGGAGAAGGAAGAGCAACTCAATCAGGAGTTGAAAAGCCAAAAAGAAAGCTTGATAGAAGAAAAGAAACTTGTGGAAATGCAGTTGCAAGAAGAATTGAAGAAGCAGTTGCAAGAAAAAGACAAACAGCTAGAAAATCAGTTGACTCAACAAAAAGAAGCACTGGAACAAGTGATTGCTGAGAAAGAAGCCCGGCAGAACATGCTGCATATAGAATTGGAGAATTACAAAGCATCCCAAGCTAGAATGCAAGACTTAGAGGCAAATGAGAGAAAAATGGAATCCACTTTACAGGAGCTGCGACAAATTGTAGAATCAAAAACCAAAGAGCTTCTAAAACAACAAGAAGAGACAAAGAGAGTGGAGGAGGTTGCACGGAAAACAGTCATTGAGCAGATGGAGGATGAGTTTTCTTGTATAATTTGTCAGGACCTTTTCATTAATTCTACTACCTTACCTTGTGCCCATTCCTTCTGTGAATACTGCTTGATGTCGTGGCTTCAGAAGAAGAACAACTGTCCAATCTGCCGTCAACCCATAGTGGGAAGACCAGTCAGGTCTCTTGTTCTTGATAACGCCATTGCCAAAATGGTGGAATCTATGGATGAGGAGACCAAGACAAGGCGGCAGACTGTCACTCAGGAAAGGGAGGAGTTGAAAAGAGGTAATATTCTACAAAATGCAGTGATCATCATTGATGGCTAAGTGAAGCTGTGAACCTGTACAACTCCTTGTCTACAGGTGACCTTGTCTTATGACCAGGTGACCACATGTAATTGTTTGTTAAGATCTGTGCCAACTGTGAGGGAAAGAATAACGATCCGTCTGATCCCGAAAGAGAAAAAAAAAACATCTTGCCGATAAAGTTTCTTTGCATGGCACTGCAAAATTAAGAGAGGTGTTTTCGCAGTGAAGTGTTCTTACTTACTCAAGGAACCAGGAGAATGAAAAGTCTGCATAATTATGTTTACCTCATCATAGGATTCCTACTGAATAGGGATGTCCCTAATGCCCATTTGTCAAACCAGTCAAAGTGTACATACATGTTTACGAGACCATTGCCTAACTCGTAACTGGTTAATATCTACGATTGTGTTCGCAACCAAACTCTCCAAAAGGAAGTACTTAAATCTGTAAGCAAGAAATTTATGATTGTGAGAGAATCAAACAGTTCATAAACTGATTGTCTTCAAAATGAAAAGTCAAACTTGTAGTTTTGTTGATGAAGTCAGAACCCTTCGTGAAACAAAGTGGTTGCAGATACCCCAAAGGTGCAAATACATTTTGACGCTTAGTGAGAAAATATGCTCACAAGCATTTGTGATTTTGCGGAAGAAGACACAACTATTCTGCCATGGCTTAATTTCCTATTCTCAGTCCTACAGTAGATGTAACCGAAGATTTGTATCAAAGCAAATGTTTGCCTGCTGAAAGTTTGATCCTTTCTTGATTTGTTTTATTGTCGGTAAGTGAGGCATGATAGATATTCAAATTTGTAGATTGCTGACAGAGGGAAGGCAATAGTTATTTTCGTTCTGGTATTCATTCACTCAAACATCTTTTTAGATTTATTTTTACACAACATGCTAAGTGGCCAATCAGAGAAAGTGAAAAATTTTATTTAAATCACTCCAGTGCATGAAGCATGTGAAAATTTACATCCACTCTGTCACATAGGTGGTAAATTGAGATTTTTAAGTGTATTTTGATAATCAAACAATTGATTATTGGATTAAAATTTTAATTAGTTCTAGAAATAACTTGCATTAATGATAGTAATAACAATGGTTGCAGGTTAAAAATTGCTACAGTGTATGCTTTTTTTTTTTTGAAGAGGTATGACTGTTTTGAAGCACTATACACGGTGGTAATTAGCCAGGAGTGATTAGAGAATCCTAAGGGTGGAGCTACTTTGTTTTCAGACATGGACAACATTCTCTTGTTACCTTAAACTGTTCTCCCTGCTTTTTCCTAAAGGAAACCATGACAATATAGTCATTGAAGGGAGAGCCAAGTTGTCTAGAAAAATAACAAAAAGAGGAAAATTAAAGCAAAGAAAAAGAAACATTTAAAAATGGTGGTTATTTATTTCTCTTTTTCTTTCTCTGCATCAGGGTGTCACTGTTATTGTGAATGGCTAATCTTTTTCTACAGGAGCAATCAACAGCAAATTTTCCAAACCCAACACTAAATTTAACATCCTTCAGATTGAACCATTTCATCAGTGCATTGAGAAGCAGACAACTTTTTTTTTTTCTCAAACTTTGAGGAGGAGCAAAATCCAATTTGGAATAATCTTCAAATGTTAAACAAAAACAAAACCTTTCACAAATATTTATTGTAACACAGTATCTTATTAATTGTATTTGTAATAAATAGTATGATTCTAAGATAAATAACTTTCATGCAAATATAAAAGACAGTGTGGGTTTCTTTCAGTCAATTTAAAACAGCTCCTTGAAGGAACTGATCAGTGTCCTTGGGAATGTTAAATTTATATATCTTTGGTGTCCCTTGATGTTCTTCAGGAATAATATCAGGCTAAAATTATGGCCAGAGGCCCCAGTTTAAATGTCTAGTTGATGAAAATGTGTTCTGATCTCTGAGGAACATTGCTGTCCTTCTATCTGGAAGCTTCATACACACAAGTTTTGTGAAAAATGGCAAATGGTAGCTGAAATACCATTTAATTAATATTTAAAAAGAGTGGAAAAGTTGTGATATTTTCTACAGTTATGGTAACATACATTTGCTTAGTTTCAGGGTTTCATACTCTAATAAATCTGGCATATAAAGATATTGTTGAAATTAATAATTTTAAGGAGTTATGAACAAAAGACTTAAATGGATTTTGGTAGGTAAACAACCGGTTGCATTTGGTCATGTTTAATTTATAAAACCTGTCATCATTTTGAAATCCCTAGTTTCCCATCTTTTTACCTCTCTTATTCCTTTTTTGTTGTTCCATCCTTTTCATCCTTTCCCACTACTTCCTCTCTCACTAACTCCTATAGTCATAAATTTGATAATGACTGTCCTTGCATACTAGTTGAAAGGCAAGGAATTAATGAACTGATAAATATCACTCAGTGTACTAATTCACAGTTCATGAGGTTCAAGTAATACTTGAAATTTTTGCAAGCTGAAGTGGAAAAGTTTAAGTATTGGCTTTTCGTCTGCTCACAATGTGCTGAAAAAGCAAAAATTGCCTTGAAATGTTGTTTCCTTTTTTTGTTGTAAGAAGGGCCCAGAAAAATTTGTGCTTTAGTATTTTTATTTGTAAATTATATGAATATTTTCTTTTCACAATGCTGGACTGAAAGATACTTGTAAACAACTTCTCAGAGTCAGACAGAACTTGACATTTGTCTAACATTTCATTGATCAATTTACTGCTCACAGCTGCTTCTACAGCTATGCCTGGGTCACGAGAACATCCAATCACTTTGAATGATGCAGAGGGCCAACAGGGTGAGAGTAACACTGTTACCCAGGCAATGGTGCAGAACACAATGCGGCATATGAGGCCTGCAAGGGAACCTCGTGGCCGTCAAGCTCAAGAGCATCGCCCTGCTGTACACCAAAGAAACAACTATGGTAACCAAAGGTATTATGAGAACAGGTATCATGGTAACCATGGTAGCAATGGTGGGGGTGGTGCTGGATATCGTTACAGCGGTAGTGATTATGAGCGGCAGCCTTACCAGCATAACTACATGCATGGTCTTCCTGGGACTTATTATCCAGGTTATGGCCATTGCCATTTGTGTGGTAAGTATTTATGAAGCTCATTGCTGACATGCAATTTCTGCTTATGAATATTTTTGCCAATTAAAAGTTGTAAGAAACACACTTAACTTTCTGTCAGTTGACCAGCATAAAGACCCATTTGGGATGCTGGGAGAACTTGGCAGGTTATAAATTATGATTTAAAAATTTTTTCCATGTTCTTCCAACATCCCAATTAGGTTATTAGCACAGGTAACAACATGATTTTCAGTGCAATTTGGTGTTAATATGCCCGAGTAAATTTTTTAATAACAAAAATTTTTCACGAACACAGAGGGTGAGTGCAAGTTGTAGTCTTTTACAAATTTACAAGTGCTTATTTACACCCAATTGCATGAGAAATAATGTTACTTAGTAAAAATTTACATGAGAAACACAACAGAAAGTCGAGGGATGAAACTTTGGCAGCATGCTATTTGCAGTTTGCACTCAAATTACAACTTTGTACTTGTGTTACATGAAATATGCACTCATTTTCAGCCAATCAGGCACAATTTTTTTAATGTATTCTCTTACGCTGGTAAACTGATGGGAAGTGCTGTATTCTGCTGTTATAAAATAACTACAAATTTTTTTAGTGCAGTAAATGATAGGTTTTGTACCAATCAGGGCACTCATAAGTCTCTTAATTAAACAATCAGACAGTTGTGAAAGGAAATCTCTACTTGCAGTTTCCTGTATAACCTGCCTAAGCTAGCATAAAGATTCTGACTCTCAAAGACAAACATTCATGTCAGTGGGTGCTGACCCTCAACCTATCTGGCTTCAACTCTTTCTCTCTTCTCTGAGAACAGAATGGAAAATAGGGGTGCTGATGTTTGGGTGTAAAGGGGTAATTTCCTTCCTTTCACAAAAACCAAACTTTTTTCCAAACATGTTGTTTTCTTCCCTTTAATATGCCTATGGTAGCAACTGAGTAATGTTGAAAGCAGCATTTACTCCTTTTGACAATTGTATTTTCTTGGCAGTGGTATAATTGGTCTATAATTGAAATCTTTTCAATAATGCCAATGAGATGTGAAGAGTTTCTTTGCAAAATGGGTTAAATTGTCAATTGTATTAAATAATGTTTATCTTCCTAGCTGATTCAAACTTCCCTGTAGTCAGAAGTCACCTCGTAGCAAAAAGCAGTTGCTCTTGCCATATGAGATGACTACTGACTACAGGGAAGTAATAGAAATCAAAATTTGACAGATTGAGTGCCATCGGCGAAAAAGAATATTGGTGTAACAACAAAAATAAAAGTGATGATGATGATGATGATGATGATTATTGTTATTTTATTTTAATGTATGCTATCCTTGATAGATTTATTAACTTTGAAAATTTACCTTGACTTTTCTGTATGAATAAAAATATGTAAAGTAATTTTGTGAAAATAAACTTTGTCACCAGGAATGAGAGGACACTGGGCTCCTGGATGCCCACTCAGTCATTAACTGCAGTAGTGGACAACTGAGCTGCTGTTCAGATTGGTAGCCAGTACTGAGCCCTTATGTACAGATGCCAAAAACACATATAAATGAATTTACATCGATGGTTATAAAATTTACAAAGATAATACCTAATTAAGAAACTATGTAAGGAAAATGCTTTGAATGAATTTCTGCACTGGATGGAAATGTGTATTGATGCTTCAGTTTCAACATTGTTCTTGTTATGGCTTTCATAATCTGATTTGCAAAAAAAAAGGAAGCTGTCTACAGTAGATTATAAGTTATCTCTTTCTGATAAGAGTGTTATTTAGTGTAATATTGTTAATGATTGGAGCAATTCAGAGAGTGTTTAAGACAGAGTGGTGCACATGTAAATATTTCCTTTGTGCAATGTTTGTACCTGTTGGTAAAGTTAAAATCTCTCTCCTGGTGGTAATCTAAAGTTATTGTAACTTGAAGAACTACATTTTCATGCCCTACTGAACTATGTACACCTAAAGTGAACTTATTTTCAGGAACTTAGAAGAGAAATGTAGACAAAATTGTATGTGTAAGACCCCCTTTAACAGGGTGTGGTCATCACTAGATGTAGGCAGTCACACAGGGGGATTAAGGTACAGACAGATCAAGCCAAGTTCCTGATCAAATATTTTGCTCAACTCTGTCCACTCTGTCAACCATTCCCCAATACTGCTTTTTTCCCCACCCTTCCTTCCCTTTCAAACATAAAAACAAAAAAAGAATAGATAGTAAACTTCAAAAGTAACCATTTGGAAAAAATTCCATTGGCTTGGCTGCCTTTGTACCCTATGAATCAACACTATCACTGAAAAAACATTTCTGGCAACTAATAGGGCTTTATTAATTAGTTAATTCATTCATTAATTAAGCCTAATTGACTTCTTACTACTGTATGGATTATTAGTCTGTTCTAAAAGGTGGGGGTATGTGCTGATATTGTAGCAGTTTTGCGTTCAAAAATGGAATAAGATAGCTTAACCTTATGTTGAACTTACAGAGTGTATACAGTCCTTTCATTAACACAGAGTGGTTTATAACAAACACAATATTTATATTATTGCTTTGTAAATTCATGTAACATTGGGAGGGAATAAAATTTGAAGCATTCAAATTTTGTTGGCTTTTTCAATTTGGTAGAAGAATGGCAATGCACAAGAAAAAATCAGATTCTAAAATAAAATGGTCTTGATGATAGTATTTCTGACCAATTTTCAACCAATCCTGGCTTGCAGATAATGAAAAAATGGTGACGGATTTTAAACACAGGTCACAAGTCACATAATTCTTTATTTCAGCAGCTATTTCAACACTAAAACAAATTAAAGGTAATTGAGTAACAATTGTAGTAGCTATTTTGCAACACAGTAGGTATATGATGGGGGGGGGGAGAGGGTTCCTCATCCCATTTCATCCATGAATTTTTAGAGAAAAAGACATACATGCTGTCACAAATTTTAAGGGGCAAATTTTACATTTTTGCCTTGCCATTCTTTTCTGCAAAGTAAACAAGGAAAAGGAAAACAATTAACCTCTTTGAAAAGTTACAGCCACAATTAATCTCACCAAAGACAACTTAAAGGTCTTCCTAGTGACATAATTTTTCATGATGACTCTTTTCACTGGTCTTATAATCAGAGATATGGTATATGTGACTAACAGGCTGTGGTGTGGTGTTAATGAAGTTATTAATTTAAGGATGTCAATACCACATCTTTAACTTTATGGCATCATTAACTCCATGTAAAAAAACGTTTTAACGATGTTATATATATTAGCTATCAACATAGTTGCTGTAAGCTCACTAAGTCAATAATGTTGAGAATTTTTAAGTAGTCCAAACAGTTCCCTGCAATTTTGAGAAAGCAAAGTCAACCCCTGCCTGACCCCTTACATCCTTTGAGGCTGATTGCTGTTTCTTCTTTCCTTTCCCCAAGAAATGTTACCAGTATTTCAATGACACTAACAACAAAAAAATTCCTGCAACTTTTTGTCTGATTATTTGGCTGGGGTAGGTAATATCGATGTGAACCCTTTTCAAACAGAAGATTAAGAAACCAAATATATTGGTAGTTGGTATAATTCCAAATTTTAATCAATGTTATCTTGATTGTGGATAAACACTGCTGTCAATTTCAATGCAGAGCTAACTGACATTTGCTTAACATTTAATTTGTGACTTAAGTTTAATCATTCGAATACCCAAGGTTTAGCGATTGATGAAGCCCTTATGTAGGGTCCATTAGGGGGATCTGAGTATCCTGCATCTCATTAATTTTAAACTTACTATTAACAATAATGTGCCCCATTAATTCCTGCAGATTGTATCCCTATAATTCCAAAAATCACTATTTAACTGAAATACCCATATCCCTTAAAGTTTTTACCCAAATATTCAGTATCCCAAGAACCATTTACAGGGTCTCTAATGTGTGCAAACAATCATATTCAAACAAGCTTAAACTTTCTTAAAAGAATAAATAGTTCATCATTGGTAAAACTTCAAAAATAAATATTTTTTTCATTTCAATTCTGGAGATCAAGTTGAATTTTGTTGTGAATGCAACGTAGATTATTATTAAAGATAAATATAATACTCCATAATTAAGACTAGCAGCCAAAATGTGAATGAACCAAAAGTAAAAAAAAATAAATCTTGTTTTGAAGGAGTTCTTTCAGTAAGGAATGAGCAAGCCATAAATGAAAAGGAGGCCAAAAGGCATAAATACTGTATTCTTAAAAGTAATTCAGATTTTACTCAATTTCTAGATTGTTAGATCCCAAGAAAATTGCAGATTTAACTTAATTTCATTTGCTAAATAATCTTACAATCATAATAATTATTTGCATATACCACACAAGTGAACATTACTGCCCTCAGATGGGCTGACTCATTAGTGAATAGTAAATACCATGCACTTCTAAGTAGCTGATGAGACAAAATCACACATCAATACTTAATTTCTGACCACTCTTCAGTATATTGTCCAGAAGAAATAAATATTTTTTGTATCCGTGTGGTATATCCAGCATAAAAGCAAGTATTCACCTCAGTATCAGTGAAAGTGAAGGATATTCACCAATATCCACCATGATTCACTGCCACTTCCATGATTAATTGTTATAATTATGATTATCTAGACTATCATTGCAATCATAAGAATCATCATGATTTTTTATAGCTATCATGATTATAAGTTAGTTAATATAAACCAAGAGCGTTTATAACATAACTATAAAATAATTCTGAAAAAAGTGTTCCATTCACCCTTTAACTCCCATAAGTGACCAAGACAGCATTTCTCCTTTTGATGTAATTGTGATATCAGTACAATATCAAGCAGACAATTAAGTGATGAGAATAAAGAAAAATATAACTTAGAGGATTATTAGTTGATCCAAAACCAAATTCTCAAAACTAACATCACAAGAACTGTACATGGCAGACAGTAAGGAGAATTACAAGTGAGATCTTAGGAGTTAAGGGTTATAATCCCCACTGATTCCTCCTCATTGTATCAACATTGAACCAAACACTTCAAGGTCATGAGAATGATAGTAAGAAAGAGTAGCCAACTTAAGAAATTCTTGATCGTTAAAGAAGTTCTCCTACTCAGTATCATGGGAAATTATAAAGAGCAGTATGGAGAATGTACATACTGTTGTCAAGGTGTAAAATTTTAAAGGAGCTGGATACTCTCCACAGAAGCACTGATGTTGCTGTTCTTTTTCAACAGAGATTTTACGTAAAGGCCTCCCAGGAGTTCTTTATCGTCAGGTTTCCCATGTTGACTTTCTGTGCAGATATTCTCAGAGAATGTAACCACTTTGACAGTCACAGCAGCATCACTATCTCCTTTGGTCTCACTGACTGGAGACTCAAAGCAGATCAGAAGCATCTGAATAGCTGCACTGAGAAGAATTAGAGAGCCAATTGTGTAAAATGCAAACTTGTATGAAGCGAGTTGGTCAGCTATGAAGCCTTCAAAAAATAAAATCACATATTTCAGTTGTAACAGCAGAAACAATTAGGTCAGTAATGCAATTTTACTGCTTGCTAATGGGTATTAATTTGTATAAACAGAGAGTGAGGTCATTATACAACAACAAACTCAATGCCTGCTCATGTCTAATCAGGTTCATCAAATGAACTGGTGCCAACACAGTAGTGGGAGGCCTGTGTTTGTATTACTATGCCATCCCTGTTTGTCTTAAAGTTCAGGAAAGACTGTGAAAGCCATGCACGGCATAAGTATAGGAGTTTTCAAAATCAGGACTTTCACAGAAGCCCCAAATAGTGAATGAATGAAACAGAATGAATAGTGAAAAATAAAGTAGTCAATGCACCAATCACATTTGAGGAAATTGTAATGGTTATGATTAAAAATATTAAATTTCTGAGTTCTTACCTGTTAAAGGTGGACCAGCAGCTAAAGCCAGTGAACACAACATGCACCCAAACCCAAATGCAGCTGCTCGTCTCTTGGGCCCAACAATATTCAAGAGAATTACATTTTGTGTTGTGATGAAGGCTCCATCTGAGAACCCAAACACTACAGCATAAAATGCAACAGAAAGATAGTTTTTAGCAAGTGGTAAGAGCAGTGTAGAGATTCCAGAAACCAAAATTCCAAGCTGATTTACATAGCGTATATTGATCCATTTGACATCACACAGTCTGCCAATTAGAAATGCAGATGTGCCTGATGAGATTCCAAGGAACATGTAAAAGAATGAGGCTTGATGAGGTGAAATATTCAGTTCTTCACTGTACTTGGCCTGAAAACAAAGAAGACATCAGTTTGGTGTGAAGTCTAATCATCCAGTTGAGAAAGCTGTGATCAACTTTTTTTTTATCAACCTGGGTGTAAGTCATCATCAAAGTCAATTAACCCTTTACCTCCCAGATCAAATTTTTTAAATCTCCTTACTGTCAACCATACAATTCTTATAATGTTAGTTCAGAGAATTTGGTATTGGATCAACTAATTATCCCCAAATTGATATTTTTCTTTATTCACATCACTTGTCTGCTTGATATTGTATTAATATTGTAAGGAGAAATTCTGTCTTGGTCACACATGGGAGTTAAAGGGTTAAGGATTAATCCCTTTGTCCATTGAGTGTTGGTACTTGTGAACACAGATTGGTCACTTTTGCTATGATATTATTGGCTATAGGACTCCACGGGCCAGTAATATTACAAGAGGTCTAACCCAAACCAAGATTTTTTTTGCAACCAGTGGGCCTCAGGCTTTCTATATAAGAAGGTTGATTAAACTAACTAAATAACTGTCCTTCCACTGTTTACTTTCAGCTGTCTTGACACTGTCCTCAAAGATAAATGTTTGGAAAAAAAGGTTAAGAAAAATTGAGGATTTGTTTAGGATGCCATTTTGTTAAACAATGGCTAAACTTTGTTAAAGAAACTGGCCCTAGGAGTTTAAGTCCCTTCTGAATGATCAGTTTTAATCTGTAGATTGTGAAGTTTATCTTAGAGTAAGTACATGCAACACCCAAGGACACCCCCTTCCCCGCCCCCTCTTTGTAAGCCTTTTATGAGCAAACAAACTACCATATTCAGGAGGCCAAAACTGGCGAGTACCTTCTGTTTGACAGTGTGATCCCCTGGCTGTGCCCATATGCAGTTTACTTACCCTGAATAAAGCAAACGCCCTGCAAGAACCATTGTACCCCCACATGTGACCAAAAATGAATTTCACCTTACAATGTCAATAGAGTTTCATGCAGAAAGGTGATGAATAGTGAAACAATTTAACATCTAGTAGATAGTGTTCAATTTTAGACCAGATGCTTAGGTCTAATATAGAAAAAAAGTGTGTGGAAAACAGTGTGTAGGATCCATATTTAGAGCCATAAAGACTGAGTCTCCTTAATCCTTTTCACCCTAACCTCAGTATACATATCCTCCATAATGTTCTCTATACATTTCCTCAGGTGCTGACAAAGAGAATTTGTTAAACAATCACAAGCTTATTTATTTCTTTGTTGTTATAATAATTCACTTTATTCTTGAGATCTTAATGTGTGATTCAGGGGTCATAACTGTTGGGAAAAATTAAATGCTATAGTCAGTCTTAAGAGTCAATGGGTTACTAACATAATCTCACACTTAGTATCACTTACTAATCACTTACTAGATGAACCATTGGTATGAAGCGACACAAAAACATCAGTGTGAATGAAGAAACAAGTATGCAAAACTGGGGAATCTGCCATACTGAAAAATCAAGAATTTTCATTTCCTCACTCCTAGCTTCAAAGTCATTGCCACAGTAATCTTTCTCCTCATTGTTATCATTGCTCTCTCCTATTTTTTGCTTCCCTGCTGCTTCCCAGTCATTCTCCTCAACATTGGGATTAAAAGTCATAGCACAGACGAAAATAAGGGTGCATGAAGCTGCCATCACTCTATATGTGTTTCTCCAGCCAAATGAATCTAGTAGGACCTGTGTTATAGGGCCCCATACAAACATTCCGAGACTGGCCCCCATGGTTAAAATCCCTGTGGCAAATGAACGCTTCTTGTTGAAGTACTTTGCCACTATTAAAAAACATGATGTACGACAGAAACATGCTCCTAGTCCCGTAAGAATACTGTAAGTGATGAACATGATCCCAATGTTGTTAACAAATGATGTTGCTATAAGTCCTGTTACAAACAGCAATGCTCCAGTCATGATCAAACAGCGACAACTAAACTTGTCAGAGAGACGTCCCACAAATGGAGCAGCAAATAGTGCAAGTGATAAGCAGAGGGAACCTACCCAAGCTGTAAGAAATAATGAGTAATAATTATGAAGAAGTATTTTAATAAATTTGGTTTGCTCCATCTTATTAGATCTCTGCTCAAGGACACTCTAGTACTATCAATGAAGCTGATTTAAAAGGAGTTTCCTCAAAGAATTTTGGCCTACTTTTACAATCACTTTAAGAATACTTTCACTTCCAGTTAGTGGAATATCAAAACACAGAGACAACAACAGATCACCAAGAAATATCATTGAATATATGAGCTGCTGCTTACTTGTGCTTACTTGTAAGCCATGATTATTTAAGTAGTAACAAATTTATTTGCAACAGTTTCCTGGCCTTCCAGTGGGCTCATCTTTTCATAGTGTGATATATAATAGAGTTGATACCACTCTCCTAAGGTTCTTCCACAACTTATGGCTGAGTAGTTCTACAGCTTATTAAAGCTGTAGAACATGCAACATGCAAAAATCAATTTAAACCAAAAAAGGAAACTAGAAAAAAAAGAAATGTTTGCCAGCTTCTAGGAAATGTATTATGCCCCTTTAACTCCCAAGATTTTAGCTTCTCCTTACCAAAAAAGAATTTGGTATTGGAGCAACTTAGTATTATTCTGTCATTAAAGGGTTAAGACCCACTTGCCTGTTTTTTCCCTGTTTGTTTCAAACTTTGCCATCAATACAGGAAAAAGCACACCAAAGCTGCGCATAATTCCCAAGACCATCACTTGTGAGAGAGTTGCACAGATGCAAACAACCAAGGACCATTTTGAATCCTGCTGGTGCCTTGCTTTGACACAACAGTTATACATGCTAAACATTACCTATGTACCTATGTAAAAAAAAAAATCACCTAAATTAAATAAAACCCCCTCCTAATAAGCCTTACTCTTACCAAATTTCCTGAAATAAGTGCCCTTGCTCTTCTAAGTGCCCTCCCCAAGAAAGCACCCACCTCCTAGGCCATAATGTCAAACAAAGCCTTTCTGGCTTCTTCACTTTCTTAAATAATAGGCGTACAATAAAATCCTGTTCCTATTGCCACTTTATATACAACTTTTCAAGCTTCAACTACAGCAGAATCATACCAGAGAGTAGTTTATTTCCTGTTCCAGCTATTTCTATCTCCATGTGCTTCCATAGTTCCTTTATATGTGCATTTATCTGTTCTTTTTACTTTTGTCCCACTGCTGTGCTATGTCAACGAGTGCCCCCTAAATTAAGCGCCCTCCTTCCAACAAGCGCCCTTCCTTTAAGCCGAAATTTTATCTAAGCACCTAAAAGCTTATTTGAGGAAATACAGTGAGCTTCGTCATGTTCCCTCCAAAGACTCTGCGTGCTCACGGTAATGCCGCTATACCTTATATTGGTTAATTTAAAGTATGTTTGGTTTTTAAAATATTCAGAACTAAAGCACTGGTTGAGCAATATGCAGAAATATGATCTTATTCTCGCGGAAGGCATGACGATTTACTTCTTGTTCAAGTAAAGGCGGCGGTTAACATATCGATCATAATAGACGATTCAATATCTTGAACGTTCAACGTTCAATAGTAGCGTTTAACCTCGAGTCGCTATAGTGACCTCTTAAACAAGTGTGATAACCTCGAGAAATTGGATGTAAACATCGCGGGATATTTTCCACGCACGGCTAGGCGAGTTTCTTCACCTACCTGGGGTCTCCCACATCCATGTAAACAGGCCCTAAAGCACAATACCTTTAACGGGATAGTGACGGTAAATTTTATAGGAGAGGCAAGTGTGATGCAATATTGCGTACGATCGTAATTGTGCAATATGATTCAAATCTTGCAGATAATTACCTGCACTACACTAGTTTGACCGATAATGATTTAGCTGTGGTGGTTGTATGGAATAAAAGTTGATTATTTCACTATTCGTTTAAAACATTTTTTCAAAACATGCTCAGTATTAAAATCTAATAATTATACCATTTATGATATAAGTGCTGATATTTACTCAGTGCAAACTCACCGAATAAAAATCGTCTGTCTTTGATGAGAAGCAATCCCATTGGCCCTACGATTTTTCTCACTAGTGAGTGTACTCAAGGTGGAATCACTTCACTACTCTCCAAATTATTACTCATTTTCGGTAGTACCTCTATCAGTTTCTAAAATGGCCAATGGTCGGTGATTGAAGAAGGCTGTCATTCTACCCGCCCACCCCCTAGGGAATTTCTTTATCTCCCCAGCCTTCCTCTAGGCGGAAAAAAAAACTACTCGCTGATTGGTTACACTATTTACCTTACGAAGGCGCGCTATAAAAAGAGTTTAAATATCACTAGAACATTTTTTAATCAACCGTCGTAGCATACAAAGCTCCAAAACAGCTTGAGCTGCAGCCGATGTAAAGCACTGACCGGAGACGCATTTCTCGGTAAATGACTACGTTTTCATCTCAATAGCTTTTGATAATTATACAGAGGCAAACATGATTTTTTAGCTTTTACACCATTAAAAGCAACCCTTTTTTACTCAGCATTGCCTCCGTTGTACGTTCTTTTACCTAAAAACTGCATTTCTCTTAGCTAGTCGCAAATTCACAATTGAAAATTCTTATAGCATATCAAAGAGATAGATGTAATGTCACCCCTTCAATTAAACATACAGATTGCCCTATCTAGGCCAAACTTTGGGATCAGGTGCATTTTAGCAAAATTTGCGATCTCACCCTTTAATACAGAAAACTGGAAATTCATCGTTTTACGGGAGACTGCAAACAAAAATACAATATCTGGGAAACCTATAGGTTCTATTCAAACACGAACAGCGCATTATTTATATTCTGTGGTTGGATAATCGGCAAACAATTGGATTGGAGTTTCATCGGAGATCATGACCGTTACTATATACGTGCAATTTGACTTAATAGATGAGGTCGCCATTCACAAAATTTCGATTTTTTATCATATAGTTCAAATAGATTCCATGATGCCGTGCTAAATGGACAATTGATCCTCCAACCTCGTGCCCAAGATCTCTCTTCTTCCGTCCCACCCTCGCGCCATGTTGCGGGAAAAAGAGAGATCCTGGGAACCAGGGTTGTTTGCCCTCGTACTTGTTGAATCGGGTTCGATTAGGTTTTGTTGCCGCAGCGTGCCTAGGAGACCCACCTATGTCAAAAAAACTTTCCTCGGTTGCATATCAGCTTTTCAGTTAACTCCGTCATGTCGTTGAAGCTTTTTTTTCTACCTAATATAAGATTCTGCAGCTTTTGTTCAAACAGATCTATTAAATGACCTATACATCAGTACTTTTTTCAGGAGTTTAATTTGAAGAAGATGATACAATGAAACACGGCATGAGAATTCGTTAATTTCAAGAAATTTGAGGAGATTGACTGATAGCTGGATCACAGGTGCCCTGTATACTTGACATGGTTGAAGGCGGACGTGACTTCCTTACATGCAGCATTGGGGAACCGGAAATTCAGTCGCTTTTTGTTGACCGCAATTTCAAAACTGATCAATTGTAGGCGATGCTCTTTTTGAAAATCATAAAAACAGTAATGGACAAAACGAGACAGGAAGTTTTCAATATTTCTCGGCGGAGAAACATGCAGCGTTAGGAGTGGGTGAGAATTTAGTTTTTCTCTCTTTTATAAAAACAGAATCATTCTTATCGGGTAATTTAGCTTGTGCTTTTTCCTATTTGTTAGTTAGCATTTTAACAATTTATCGAAGTTTTTGCCCAACCCGTATCGCCCTTTTCCATACCTCTTCCAAATTCGTTCTTTTTAGTTTGAGTTGTTCCGTGGTTTTGTTTCTTGCGAAGCATGAAATCGCTCTCGATCAGAAATGAAACATTTCAACCCTTCAATTTCCAAGATCTAAAGGGCTGGTAAATTGCATTGAATTCCTCTGTTGACGAAGGCCATCAGGTCATTTGATACGATTTGATATGATTCCCGATATCTCGAACTTTCGAGGAAAATTGAGAGAGATTCGAGTTAATTAGAGTATAGAACAAACGACTTGAAATAAATAATATGCAAATTATTATGCAAAGGATTATGAAAGTAAGATATTTTGTAGACAAATGCGATATCAAACCACCCGATCGCACGATTATTGCGTGCAGGATAATTTTGATTGAGGGGGAGAGGGTCGGGGAGGGGGGGGAAGGGTGGGAGGCGCAAGCGCGAGTCTCAAGTGGGAGCTCGAGGGGGGTGGGGGTTTGCAGGGTATATTCCAATCGAACATTTTGATATTGCCTTCTCAAAAATTACAGAAAATGCATTTACAATAGCAAAAGAATCGTTTAATTACAAACTTTCAGCGCAGTGTCTACTCTACAGAGGTTGATAGGGATTAAATTTAAATCACTTCAACAAAATATACCCTCCATTGTAGTACTACCGATATCAAACTTTAAATTAACCAGAAATCGAACACTTTCAATTGGACTGCAGTTAATTAGCTCCAAGCTTCGTAAGCGTTGTATCAGGCCGAAAAAAAGAAAGAAAGAAAAAAGAGAGAGAAAAAAAATCCATAACACAAACAAAACAATGACTTTGCGCCCTCTTTCAAAACTTTCAGATTATGTTTAAATACCCCCTTTCCCCCCCCGGTCAACTGATCCAATCTTATTTTTTCATTTACGTATTTCAAACCGTAATTTTTTCTTCCCATCATCATCTTTGGTATGTTTTTAAGGATTCACGCGCGACGCATGTGATATGATCAATCAAGCAGTCACGTTCAGAGACCTTGAACTTGACATTGAGATTGACGTAAACATACTCGTATACTCGTTTTTGGAGTCAAAATTTTTAGCTCTCTCACCGAAAATTTGTCCCTTGTATTTTTTATGGAGTTTTAGTATTTTCGAAGGCCTTATTTTCAATTAAATGTTGTATTTGATTTTTCACTTTTATTAGATCTTTATTAATGGAGTTCAGACCCTTGCCTCTGACCGGAAAAGGATTTTTTTTTTGGCAGCGAAAATGTACTTCCTTCGTAGTATGTTATTTCTCTCATCGCCATAATACAGAGCAAGGGTTTCACAGAGTTTGCTGTGTACATATACATAATCTACCCAACCACGTTTCCAGGGGTCTGCACGCGCGAGTAATTCTAGCCGGATACGCGCAAGTAATTTTGGTGCGATATGCACAAGCGAGAGAACTCGCGAGTTTTTTATTTGCCTTCTCGCCGAGTGCCTGCTTCGTAGTTCGACACAGGATTAAAACCTGTGTTCTTTTTCAGCCGATTAATTTTTTAGTAAAAGCACTAATTTATATCATTGTATGGGATCATCATTACTCGCGAGCTTTCCATTGCCAAAGTGGTAGTCTTTGTAAGCGAATGATGGAGCATTCCACCTCTTGCGTATAGAACACCCAGCGAGTTCAAGATATAGCACAAGATCTGTTTTCATACATAAAATGAATAGAAAATGAAAGGTTACATTTATTAATTTCTCCACTGATAGCCCGCAGAACAGACGTAATGTTTTTTGCGCTTTTCTTGCTCTCCTCCCCTCGCGTGTTACTTGACATTCGCACTCTCCTCCTCCTCCTCCTCCGCAGAAAAAAAATTCTACGCTGCTCAGCAGCCTATGCTTTAGGTAGCTCGTCCGCTGGTTAATGCAAAAACAACAGAAAAAAGGAAGTGTGTTTCGTTGTTTTTTTTTTTGGTTTTTTTTTGTCTGTCGATGTGTTATACGTGTCTTCGGCTTTTTTCCCAGCTTTCTTCTAGATTATTTCAATCGGAAACCTGGCGTGAGCTGGATTCCCTGTGTTCTCGATTTAACTAGCCCAATCAGGCCTAAATTTCCCTTTTTTCGCGGCATCAATGATTTGCGAGTTCGTTAAACTTTAACGATCAACTTAACCAAAAGATCTGTCTGGTTAATGTACTATTGTTTCCATCCACCAGGGGAGTATATAATTCCGATCTCTCCGATTGCTTTGTTGATCGACACAACACCTTGGTGCATTTTTACAAGTCGCAGCTTTGTAGAATTTGGTTCCACTCAGATTAAACACTGCCTTGGTATCACAATGGCCATTTTTCAGCTGTTTTCGTCCAGACAGCCCAGGAAGCGAGACGGGCCGTGGTCTTTGCTTGTCTGTGCTTGTGCTACCATGACCTGGGTTGCGTCATTGGGTTTCCTGTTCAGCTTTGGAATTTTTCTTCCTGTGTTCATGAACTATTTCAACGAATCCAGGGAAACCACAGGTTAGCCTACTTTCCAAACGACTCTTCCTTTTACTCTTACACCTCTAATCAATGGAGATGACGCTCGCCTTCGTTCACTATCGTGTGCATCTAAATTTGGTGCGTAATTTGAGCCGCTGTACCTTTCACTAATTGTTTACTTCGGCCACCAGAGCTGTTTGAATTTAATTGAGTGCGCCATAACCCCTCTTTTTTTAAGTTTGCTGGCAGAGAAATTTCTTCAAAAGGGGATTAATGTATCAGACGTATACATGTATTTACATAGAAGTATCTAGACGTTCGGAGTTAATTTATAATAGCAACAGAGCCAGCGTCCTACTCGTTCGTTCTTCTTCAGCTCTCCACCACCTTAGGAGCAAAACGGAAAGAGATCTTAGTAGTAAGATTAGCATTTCTACAGCCTGTACACCGGCTGCGCTGCTATCGGGCCCCATTTACTTAGTGAAGGGGCCTGGGTCACTCCCAAGCTTGATCTAAATATCAATTCTCGCAAGATTATTTAGCTTCTAGCATCTAACTTCTCCTCACAATATCACTCCTGGATCGAACATTTAGGTCACGAGAGTTAAGGAAATGATCACCGACTAAAGAAGCTCTTGATTGTTAAAAACAAATTCTCCTTGTCGGTGTCGGAGACTGTGTTTTGTGCGTGACACATATCAGATAACAAGTGTAAACATTACATCAAGAGAGACTATCATTTGTTATCAAGAGTTAGAAGCACCGCCTTTCGTGACTTTGGGACATTGATCGGTTTGCATGATCGATGCAACCTTGAATAACCTTTTATATCAGGCCTTAGCAACAACTAATCACAATGTGGAGAATGTAGTATAAGAGAGTGATTTCGTTACAAGTTATGCAGAGTAGCTCTACATGCCCGTCGTAACTGAGTGAATACGAGAGTGGAGATAAACAATTGAGCTTAATCGAGTCTGTTGATTGAGTCTAGTTCGTTAGGATTCTATCCCTAGTAAACGGGACAAAGTTTACGAAGAATACGCATACTGACGTTAGGGTGTAAAGGATCAAACAATACAACTTTGTCATTTTCGTCATAGCCTTCACTTGAAATAAGAAAAAAAAAAAAAAAGAAAAAAAAAAGTAACATATGTGATGTTTTATTTGATGGCTTAGCATGGCTCGGTTCTGTTGGTATCGCCTTGGCCTTCTTCACTGGGCACCTGTCTTCTGCTCTGGTTACTCGGTTTGGCTGCCGAGTCACAACTTTGATCGGAGGCGCATTCTGTGTCGTCAGTTTGATTACCAGCTCTTTTGTGGAGAACATGATGGTTCTCTTCTTTACCTACAGTCTCCTATTTGGTTTGGGATCCAGTTGCACGTTCTCTGCGGGTCTGGTAGTAATAGGAAAGTACTTTAAAAAAAGACAGTCATTAGCAACAGGGGTATTGACAGCTGGGCACGGTGGAGGAGTGCTCGTTATGGGCCCCACGTTAGAGGCCCTAGTGAGAATCACCGGTAGCTGGCAAACGACTTATCGCATAATGGCGGGAGTAGCATTCATCTTGTGTTCTCTCGCTGTGACATTTGATCCCAACGTTGAGAGTGATGAAGATGATAACGACAATCAAGAGAAAGAGGAACGTCACGGGGGTGATAAGGCGATTGAGGAGGGTGCCACAAAGAAACAGCTGATTGATTTCTCCGTGTGGAAAGAACTTCCAGTCATTGCTATCATAGTAGGCGCATGTGTGGTAGAGTTCGGCCATTTTGTGCCGCAGATTCATTTGGTAAGTCCGACCCTTAACAAACGCAATCGAAACGCTCTTACCATCCTTTGACAAAGAAGCTCGTACATGACCAGTTGAAATTTGCTTATGCACAGATTATTCTGCGCGCGATCGAGGTGACATGTGCGCGCAATCGAGGCCACATTTCATGTCACTTCGACTTTTTTTTTCCGCTTCTTATCTTTGTCTTTCTCTCTAGATTCGCTACGGTGAAGATCTAGGAATCTCGGCCGAGAAAGGTTCAAAACTTTTTATCTACTACGGACTGTGCTCCACCATTGGTCGGCTCCTGGCTGGTATTATGTGCAACAACGAGAAGGTGAACCCATTCTACGTGTTCCAGGCTGCAGAGTTTGTGGCTGGTTTGAGCACAATCCTTGTTACTCTTACTACAATCTACACACCTTTGGTTATCTACGTTATAGTATATGGTCTCAGCGACGGATTCTTCTTCACGAGTTTGAGTTTTATTCTTCTCACGGCCAGTCCGTTAAAGACGCCCGCAGTGCTTGGCTGGGAAATGATGCTGACATCAGCTTTCTTGGCCAGTGGTCCTCCATTAGCGGGTATGGGCAGAAAACTTGTACTCAAGTGATATCTTTAAAGTATTTATAAAGTGCAGTAGATATGTGTCATATACCATGAGAGACAGGCCATTACTCATCGCTTAAGGAGGCTGGAGGATTTTGGTTGTATCACGATCAAATTTACCTGATTCCCCCTAAGGCTGTGAAACATTCTTGTGATTTCCCTTCATCTACAGGTAATTTATAGTCCCCTCCCCCCTTTATGCTGTGTTTGCCATAACTGAATAATTGACCCTCTTTCCCCCCCCCCTCCATTTCCCCTGAAAAACAATAATAATGACTAGTTCCCGACCCCTTCTCAGCTCTTAACCAGTGATCATAGCCCACGCATACTTACCTCAGATGAAAAACGAAAGAAAAATCAAGAGTTGCTTGGGTACAGTCTCACTCTGGCTAATCGATATAAATTGTTGATGAATGAAAATTTTTCGTTTGGTTTTAAAAGAGGGGTAAGTTTTGACCATGAAATCGGGTCTGTATATTTGAAATATCAGTGGTAATGTTCACGTGCCCCTTCCCCCTTCCACTCTTGTAGTTACCACTTTGTACGTAGTATCCCAGAGACCATCACTGAGAGGGGCAAGCGAGGCAATAAGTGTCAAAAAATGTGTCCAGGAATGCAGTTACTTGATGAGAGTCGGTGAAGTAACCTCTCAACCCCTTTCTTTTTGAAGAACTTGGCTAATGTACGTTCTCATCTCCAGGCCCTTACCTGTGATACGTCATTTTCTGTCAGTGTTTCTGTTATCCAGGCTCTAAAGACTACCCTTTTATCACATGGACAAATTTCGCAACCATAAGTCAAAAATGTAGTTCCATTTGTCAAAATTGTTACGGAGATTAGGATTTTCTCAGAATCGTTGTTTCACATTCATTTCATTTCTTTGTTTTATCAGGTCTTTTAGCGGACAAATTGGGCTCATATGTCCTTCCTTTCCAAGTTGCTGGAGGTATCACGCTGGCAGGATCGTTCATTCCCTTTATGTTGTTGTGTGACAAACGGCGAGGAAAAGCTGTGTCCATACTGGAACAAGAAGATGGCGAGAACCTTCAAGGAGTGGCGTGACGTTTCATCATGTGGAATGTCTGATTTTTTTTCTTAATTCTAATCATTATTCTCTTGATCCGTAGATCAAATTAATGGAGAAATATTGTGAGAGTTTTTTGATAGGAACAGCTAAATTGAATAATAAAAATGACAACAGAATTCACGTCAAGTCTGTCAAGACATGCAAGTGTTAGAGGATAATGCTGCAGTGAGTAAACGGGTAATAAAAAAAAATCCAGTAGGTTGGCTGTAGAATCAATGCAATAGAAATTCAAATTCTGCTCTTGCCTTATTTACCATTTTTCTTTTCTCTCTCGCCTTACGGCCATTTTCCTCTCCTCTCCCCCCTCCCCCCCCCTTCCGCCCTTGTTCCCTCAGAGCATAAAACTTTAAGTCGAGCACCAGTGAAAAATTAAGGTAATAGTCCACGTAATACTTCATATGAAGCGTAACCAGAGAAAAAATTCCAAGCTCAATAAATGTGTTCATAGCAAAGATTCGTCAGACCATTTGCTGAGATCATCATCGAAGTCGTTATTGTTGAATTTCATTTGGAGCTAAAAGCTCCAACAATTAAATCAAAACCGGTGGAAGCTTGAGACTGAATGAGGATTTTACCGGTCAAGGAGTTAGTCGTCTTGCCGGTCATGTTGACCAGTCTTAGTCGATCGTATTTAAATTTTTTTAAAGAATATTGCAATGCTAAACTAATGAGCAGCACTCTGTGAACAGTGGTTGGAAAACTTCTTTAATCTCCGACTCGTTTTGTGGACTTCCTCAGGGAGTTTTAGGAGCAGGTACAGGTGAAATTGTAAAAATTTGGAAATTTTTTTTAGGCAGGGTGAGAAAAATATTTGGGTGCCACGGTTCTGGCTAACACAGTGATACGTACAACGGAAATCGTTTTATTTGGGGGCGCCGGACAAATTTAATGGTCACGATGATGATATTTAACGTGTTACGGGTTACTCTTACAAGCAGTGTACCTATTAATACACATAAGCTTATGTTAATTTCGCCGCAATATGGAGGAGGAGTGGAATTTTTAGCCAAATGATTCCTGTAACGCATAGTGCTAATTAAATCAGAAGAGGTAGTTAGAAACAACGTTTTATTTCCCAGAGCTGCATCATTTAACAACATTTAAAAAAGCCTCTACTTTACTTTAACTAATAAGCACAATACGTGCAGACTACGATGGACTAGCATCCTCTCTTGTAGGTATAAATCGGCCTGACTTCATCTCCGTTTCACGAAGATCGTCCTACAGACGACTACTATGTCTTAAGCAAGACGTTCTATCTTAATTCACAACTGACATCCTTCAAAAAAAGCTTATAACTAGTTGCAGTCTTGATCATGAGCCGTGCTGGACATCAACCTCAGTCAAGTCTCAGGCTTTGTAAAAGATCATCAGAGAGGCCAGGGCGCATGATACCAAGAGAATACCGCTGATGCGAGTTCCTGTGCCACCATTGCAGTTGTCGCCTTTGCAGCAGTAGATGTCACACTCATAGTAATCACTGGCTTGTTCACAAGTAGGGTTGGTTTTTTTATTACAGTAAGCATCGGTTCCGCACGATTTAATGAACGATTCGACTGATGAAGTTTTAAAGTAGAGTTTCACACATTGTTCGGACGCATAAGCTGGGCAGGTCATACTTACTTCCGAATCTTTGCATTTATCCCAGGACTCGGTACTGCCGCAGGCCTTGCATTTCAAACTCAAAACTGAAAACACACACGACAAGGAATGCTTAGATGAAGATAAATGAGGTAACAATTTCTACCGTTATTAACTGACCTAGTTTTTCTCAAATGAGAAATTAGCTACAAAATTTGAAAATTTACGCATAATTATTTCATTTATGTAAAGGAGCAACTTCAATTTACTTTGATCCTTAATTAACATTTCGATAACCTGGACCCTTGTTTACTCACTGAACATTCCTCTGATATTTTTCTGCCCATGCATATATTAAGAATCGGTATTATTACCAGGAGCAAGGTTCTACGGAAGCCGAAAGGGGACAATCCAAAAATAATTTGCAAATCCGAAAAAAATATTAAGAATCGAGATCTTTTTAGACAAATCGCTTTTGAAAAGTTTCTCAAATCGAGAAAACAATTTCAAATCATGGTTTAATTCTTAAATCTACAAATAACTTTCATGCAAATCGAAAACAGATATTTCTATGAACTCGAGGACTCCAAAGAGAAGGTTGCGTGAGTATGGGTTGAGGGAGAGAAATGAAGCCCATTCAGAGCTCGAAGTTCGGGAGATAATTAAACGTGAAATTGAAAGCTCTTCATTACTTCTTGGATATCGTTTCAATAAACTTCAGGTCGTATAATTGAAATTCGTGCCTTTTTACAACCTAACACAGTGTCGATCGCGATGAATGTCCCTTTCCATGTAGGAAACTACACAGGTCATGTAAATATACATTTATTAGTTTCAAATGTCAATCGCTCAGATCAAATGTCACCACTGTACAAACAAAACGTTGCATAACAAGTTTGAAAAACGTGACAGTTCATGTGGGTCTGCATTGAACGTGTGCAAAGAATCTGACAATTGCGCGATGTGGAACAAGCTAAGAACAAACTATATTATAAAATAATTCAAATGGTACGCGAACAAGCTAAGAACAAACTATATTATAAAATAATTCAAATGGTACGCGCGCTCTGATTTTATTATCATTTTACATGAGCGTATGTAAACACGGTTTTCGTTCCTCTTCCATTAGTTAATTTATAAAAGAAGTGTAAAATGGTTTCCGTGTTGGCAGAATATCGCATATATATATATATATATATATATATATAATATGGCAGAATATCGCAACGCACTTGGTAAAATATATTAAAATTCACGTGGCAACCAGGTGGACAATCAGACATGGTTTGATGCTACTCTGGTTTAAAGATTTAATGAATGTAACCGCGAAGTTACAATTCATAGACCTAAGATTTCGACACTCCTATCTAGTACCTTCATCAGCCGGGGTGATCTAAACGTTGCAATAAGAGGTCTTTTTATACGCTCACTAATTAGAAGCCCTTTTTTCTAACAAAGTGTAAATAGGCGTTAGGAAGGAGGCCGCCATCATCACGATTTAAAGGAGACTGAGTTGATATGCCATGCTTCCTAACAAAGGCGCTGGTGGTAACGCCAATTAGAGCTGATAATTTTAGACTTGTTTCACCCAATTGTATGGTCGGTTAGGCATGTGTGCTCCGATAAAGCTGAATTTTTTTTTTTTTGCCAAAGAAGACCGCTTTTTGATGCTCTTTCAAACGTGTACCAAACTGTAGTTTGATCTGTCCGATATACTCGTTATCACAGTCATTACACGGAATAGAAAAAATAGCATCGGTTCGTTCTTTCGTGACAGGATCCTTAGGTTTGGCAAAATATTCCCCAAGGCTGAAAAAAGTTTAATAAACACTGGCACAGTTTAGTCCTTTCGCGTTGTGACTCCAAGTCGAGCTAGCGCAACTTAATGCGACACAATGTGCTGTATCGTGACTAAGTACCGACTATTCTTCTCGATTTGCGAAAATCTTTTGGATTTTGAAAAGATTCTTGGATTTTAAACTGTTTTCGACTTTCATGAAAGTTATTTGTGGATCTATTAATTAAACCAGGATTTGAAATTGCTAACTCGATTTGACAAACTTTTCAAAAGCGATTTATCTAAAAGATATCGGTTCATATTATTTTTTCGGATTTGCAAATATTTTAAGATTTTCCCTTCTCGACGTCCGTAAGGTTCTGTTTTTATCGAAGTTCAAATCATGAATTAAATTGTTTGTGGTAAAGGAATGTCCTTGTAATGTGCGGCGGAAATTAGCTTATTTTTTTCTTTCTCTTGTATCACTCTGTGTGGAAGGCTCAAAGCGATAAATTGATATAGAACATCATTTTGTTCTCTGTTTTACTGCACTGGTGGCGAATCTAACATGATTTACGACGATGGCTTCGCCTTACAGTTGCTCGCTTCAATCGAAACGATGTGGATTACAAAAAAGCATTTTGCAATGAAATCACTTACCGGATGGAAACGCAACGGAGATAAGTATGGCAATAACAAACCACAGCTTCATCTTGAAGAGCTTGATGTTTCCTTGAGAGTCAAAAAACTGAAGATTGGAGGCGTAGTGTCAAAGCGTCGACAGGCGGGCTGAACTTGAGGCAGTGGGATCTTGCGCACTTTCTCAGTACGAGCAACTCTTTGTTAGACAGACGCACCCAATGCATTTTACTGTCAGTCAGTCTCAGTAACTAGGCAACAATAAATAATGAACAATCTTTTGTCATTCTCGTTCTAACTAGACCCCGTGGGCAGGGTAACTGGGATACCTGGATGGTACTGGATCCTTGGAATCAAGTGTAGTGATACTACGGGTATCGGACTAGTATACTGAAATAGTGCGCTCGAGTCTGGCCAAGGGCATACACCTATTTCAAAACATAGGCATGCTATGCATGCAAGAGTTACTTTTTTGTAGGGTAACTGGATTACTTGAAACATTGTGAGTGATGTCTACATTCTTACCAAAGGAAAGAAGATTACTAATGTGGGAAAGAACGAAAATGTCGAATTACCTCACTCACAGGTATTTTGTGGTAGATAATGTGTGTTGTGCGAATAAATGTAACCAAAAATAAACTGTATTTGTGCCACGGATACCTGTTAGTACAAAATGCAGACCGGATACAAAATATAGACTGCAGACTGCAGAGTGGGTACAAAATGCAGACTAAGACTCTGAAGAGTTTTTACGTCTAGTATATAATAACATGTCATCTTGCAGCTTACCGAGCGTCACGCGATCGCTTTTCTGCGACCCGCAGAAAAGCGATTATTTGCACTATTGTGAGATATTCCTGACCTATTTCTTGATGAAAATCGATCGCAATATTACTTCAAGCCTTCAATATAGTCTTCTTACTTTGCGCGCGAGTTGGTTGTTGTGATGTCTGTACAGATTTTACCAACGTAATAAAAGTAGAGGATGTGAATAATAGTGATGGTAAAGCAAGCTTAAAACGGCAGAAATCGCCAGAAAATACAACGGATACACAGGGTATGAGTAAGTTTTATTGATTTTACGAGAAAAATGTTCATATTTCGAAATATTTATCGTTGTAGACGTGACCTTTGGCTGCCTGTGACAAAACAATTGCGTAAACAATATTTAACATAATAACATTATACACAAAAAAACACAGGGTTTTGGATCACGTATTTATTAAAAAAGAATATCCATACAACTACAATGAAAACAAACTTAAGATTCACCTTTCTGATCGTGAAATTAATACCATTCGTACTGTTATCGTAGCTACGTTCCTTGCCATCAAGTGAATCCAACATGTCGTCTTTCTTCCCAAGCAGTTTGCATCCATTATAGTTATGTTCTTCAGTCTCACGGTAGTAGCGTTGTTCAATAGATTGCATAGAGTATATGCAGTTTGGTTTCAGATTTCAGATTTTGCTTTTTACAACAAGTGAACGTTTTTCAACTAAGACATTGGCATACTTGGCATACAAGACATTCAAGGCTTTCATGGCTTTCAAGCGTTGGCGACTCAATCCGTTCCAAAATTACTGCTCAATAACATCTTTCAGTGTGGATTAGCCGCGATTAATACGACTTGTATATGTGTCTGTAAGTATTTTGCGCGTTTGCGCTATAATGCTCCAGGAGATCGCAATCCAAATACGTTGAAATACAACAGAACTGACGAAAGAATTTTATAAGCAAAATCTCGTGTTCGTCATGTGACTCGGCCCTGTCTGTGCATGACAACGTCAATCATCATCAAGATAACACGCGTGATCAGCATGTGAACAACTCATTGGATCACAGTTAGTTGTCATGGTGTTGAGGGATAACACGCGTGATCAGTACGTGAACACCTCATTGGATCATAGTTAGTTGTCATGGTGTTGAGGGCCCAATGACCTCTGGGTACTATTGCGCAATTTTTCCATTTTGTGGCGGAGGAAAAAAACAAAACTAGACCCTGTGAGCAGGGTAACTGGGATACCTGGATGGTACTGGATCCTTGGAATTAAGTGTAGTGATACTACGGGTGTTGGACTAGTATACTGAAATAGTGCGCTCAAGTCTGGCCAAGGGCATAAACCTATTTCAAAACATAGGCATGCTATGCATGCAAGAGTTACTTTTTTGTAGGGTGGGTGGATTACTTGAAACATTGTGAGTGATGTCTACATTCTTACAAAAGGAGAGAAGAATATTGATGTGGGAAAGAACGAAAATGTCGAATTACCTCACTCACAGGTATTTTGTGGTAGATTACGTGTGTTTTGCGAATAGTAGTAACCAAAAATAAACTGTATTGGTGTCACAGATACCTGTTAGTACAAAATGCAGACAGCAGACTGCAGACCGGATACAAAATATAGACTGCAGACTGCAGAATGGGTACAAAATGCAGACTAAGAATCTGAAGAGTTTTTACGTCAGGTATATAATAACATGTCATCTTACAGCTTACCGAGCGTCACGCAATCGCTTTTCTGCAATCCGCCTTCGCGATTATTTGCAGTATTGAGGAATATTCCTGGCCCATTTCTTGATGAAAATCGATCGCAATATTATTTCAAGCCTTCAATATAGTCTTATTACTTTGCGCGCGAGTTGGTTGGTGTGATGTCTGTACAGATTTTATCAACGTAATAAAAGTAGATGATGTGAACAACAGTGATGGTAAAGCAAGCTTAAAACGGCAGAAATCGCCAGAAAATACAACGGATACACAGGGTATGAGTAATTTTTACTGACTTTACGAGAAAAATGTTCATATTTCGAAATATGTATCGTTGTAAATCGACCATACTTCGTTCCCTGTACTATTCCTTATAACGTGCAGTTCCTCTCGTAACTTAACACCGAGTCACACAACGCGTGACGCGTTCATAAATTAATCGTTGGCTTTTTCTCGAGACGTGACCTTGGGCCGCTTGTGACAAGACAATTGCGTAAACAATATTTAACATAACAACATTATACACAAAAAAACACAGGGTTTTGGATCACGTATTTATTAAAAAAGAATATCCATACAACTACAATGAAAACAAACGTAAGATTCACCTTTCTGATCGTGAAATTAATACCATTCGTACTGTTATCGTAGCTACGTTCCTTGCCATCAAGTGAATCCAACATGTCGTCTTTCTTCACAAGCAGTTTGCATCCCTTATAGCTATGTTCTTCAGTCTCACGGTAGTAGCGTTGTTCAATAGATTGTATAGAGTATATGCAGTTTGGTTTCAGATTTCAGATTTTGCTTTTTACAACAAGTGAACATTTTTCAACTAAGACATTGGCATACTTAGCATACAAGGCATTCAAGGCTTTCATGGCTTTCAAGCGTTCGCGACTCAATCCGTTCCAAAATTACCGCTCAATAACATCTTTCAGTGTGGATTAGCCGCGATTAATACGACTTGTATATGCGTCTGTAAGTATTTTGCGCGTTTGCGCTATAATGCTCCAGGAGATCGCAATCCAAATACGTTGAAATACAAAACAACTGACCTAAGAGTTTTATAAGCAAAATCTCGTGTTTGTCATGTGACCCGGCCCTGTCTGTGCATGACAACGTCAATCATCATCAAGATAACACGCGTGATCAGCATGTGAACACCTCATTGGATCACAGTTAGTTGTCATGGAGTTGAGGGATAACACGCGTGATCAGTATGTGAACACCTCATTGGATCACAGTTAGTTGTCATGGTATTGAGGGCCCAATGACCTCTGGGTACTATTGCGCAATTTTTCCATTTTGTGGCGGAGGAAAAAAAAAAAAAAAAAACTAGACCCTGTGAGCAGGGTAACTGGGATACCTGGATGGTACTGGATCCTTGGAATCAAGTGTAGTGATACTACGGGTGTCGGACTAGTATACTGAAATAGTGCGCTCAAGTCTAGCCAAGGGCATACACCTATTTCAAAACATAGGCATGCTATGCGTGCAAGAGTTCCTTTTTTGTAGGGTGGGTGGATTACTTGAAACATTGTGAGTGATGTCTACATTCTTACAAAAGGAGAGAAGAATATTAATGTGGGAAAGAACGAAAATGTCGAATTACCTCACTCACAGGTATTTTGTGGTAGATTATGTGTGTTTTGCGAATAAATGTAACCAAAAATAAACTGTATTGGTGCCACGGATACCTGTTAGTACAAAATGCAGACAGCAGACTGCAGACCGGATACAAAATATAGACTGCAGACTGCAGAGTGGGTATAAAATGCAGACTAAGAATATGAAGAGTTTTTACGTCTGGTATATAATAACATGTCATCTTACAGCTTACCGAGCGTCACGCAATCGCTTTTCTGCAATCCGCCTTCACGATTATTTGCACTATTGTGGAATATTCCTGGCCCATTTCTTGATGAAAATCGATCGCAATATTATTTCAAGCCTTCAATATAGTCTTCTTACTTTGCGCGCGAGTTGATTGGTGTGATGTCTGTACAGATTTTATCAACGTAATAAAAGTAGATGATGTGAACAACAGTGATGGTAAAGCAAGCTTAAAACGGCAGAAATCGCCAGAAAATACTACGGATACACAGGGTATGAGTAAGGTTTATTGATTTTACGAGAAAAATGTTCCTATTTCGAAATATGTATCGTTGTAAATCGACCATACTTCGTTCCATGGACTATTCCTTATAACGTGCAGTTCCTCTCGTAACTTAACACCGAGTCACACAACGCGTGACGCGTTCATGAATTAATCGTTGGCTTTTTCTCGAGACGTGAGCTCGGGCCGCTTGTGACAAGACAATTGCGTAAACAATATTTAACATAACAACATTATACACAAAAAAACACAGGGTTTTGGATCACGTATTTATTAAAAAAGAATATCCATACAACTACAATGAAAACAAACATAAGATTCACCTTTCTGATCGTGAAATTAATACCATTCGTACTGTTATCGTAGCTACGTTCCTTGCCATCAAGTGAATCCAACATGTCGTCTTTCTTCACAAGCAGTTTGCATCCCATATAGTTATGTTCTTCAGTCTCACGGTAGTAGCGTTGTTCAATAGATTGCATAGAGTATGTGCAGTTTGGTTTCAGATTTCAGATTTTGCTTTTTACAACAAGTGAACGTTTTTCAACTAAGAAATTGGCATACTTAGCATACAAGGCATTTAAGGCTTTCATGGCTTTCAAGCGTTCGCGACTCAATCCGTTCCAAAATTACCGCTCAATAACAT